CGGTGGTCACAGGGTGCAAAACTCAGTTTGGGGCAGTGCTGTCCGGACAGGGCTGTAGTGAGTAGCGTTTTACCCTTAAAAAGTGACCTCGATGAGGTTTTGCATGTTAATTAGCTCAATTTCAAAACACGGGCATGACAACTGGCCAGGTTTCTCAACTGAAACATTTTTTCTTTTGCGGTACTGGGATTTGAACTCAGGGCCTCACACTTGCAAGGCAGGTGCTCTACCACTCGGGCCACCCCACCAGCCCTTAGAAATTAAGAGTAGGAATATCGCTCAGTGGCAGAGCACCTGCCTACAATGCGTTAGCCTCCAGATTCAATCCCCAGCCATGCAAAAAGCAAAATTAATTCTAAGAAAATGTATACAATTTTGTCAATTAAAATTTAGAAGATTCTTGTTTTACTAATAATTCGTTTATTATTAATTATTTAATAATAGCTTCACTTCAAGATAAAATTGTGCTCACATCTTGTTTTTGTGTGGAACGATGGTGTCCCTTTTAAGCAAGGTGACTCTAAGATGCGTTTGTAGGTCCCAGCTGTTTCTGGAGAATGAGCTTTCATTTATTTATCTGTTTTGCAGTCCTGGTGACTGAACTCAGGCCTCCCACTTGAGCCGCACCCCCAGCCCTTTTGGCTTTCATTATTTCAAATGGGGTCTCGCATTTTCTGATCAGGGCTGTTCTGAGCACAGTCCTCCTACCTACACCTTTCCAAGTAGCTGAGATGACAGCATGGTATCACCAGGCCTGACTTCTTTCCTGAGATGGGGTCTTGCTTTTTTTTTTTTTTTTTTTGGATTGGCCTCAAACTGTGATCTTCCTGATCTCTGCTTCCCAAGTAGCTGTGATGACAGGCGTTAGCCACTGTGCAGCTCATGAGCCTTTCGGTGTATTTATTTAACCGGCCTGAGCTTCCCTAACAGGTGGCACTTTCCTGAGTGCAAACAGTGCCAGGGACAGAGAGAAATGCCATGTGCTCTCGACCCCCAATGACTTGTGAAGTGACTGCATCACAGGGCCTATTCAGAGCTGCTGGGGGCGAAGACACGGAGGGGGAGGGCGTGTGACAAGGCGCCCAGGCAAAGCAGGGACAGAAGGGGCCTGAGGTGGAGGAGGGCAGCACAAAGTATTTCGGCTGCTAGGGAACCATTCTCGCCTGCAGGAACTCACTTGGAACTGTGGTTGGTAACTGGTTTCCACTCTGAAAACATTTTTTTTTTTTTTTGGTGGTGCTGGGGATCAAACCCAGGGCCTTGCAGATGTCAAACACGCACTCTATCACCAAGCTTCTCTCGTGGCCTGATTCCTGTCTGTCCTGGGAGGCGTGACAGGAGGTCAGAGCTGAGTCCCAGGGACACCCACACCCAGGGAGGGGCGGGGTGGTGGCTGGGTGAGAAGGCAGGCTTCCGGGTGCGTGGAGTACAGCATGGGCCCTGGGGACCCGGGGGCACTGTGAGGACGCAGGCTGGGGGAAGGCGAGGCCAGGGCGCTGGGTACTGAGGAGCTCCGCGGTGCAGGGGAGGCTGGAGGCTGAGACTTGCAGCAACTTGCCTTCGGGCCTGAGGGCTGGGACACAAAGGCCCACCCTGGCTGATGTGATCTTTGTCACTTACTGAGTATCTGGTGGGCTGGCCGGTACTGTGGTTTGACTACCTTGTAACAGGAACCGAGTGAAGCCTCCCGCACCGTGTTTAAAAAGCACAACCATGACAACGCACTGGGCGTTGTGGCAGTTAGCGCTAGAGAGTGGAAGTTTTACTACTTTCCCAGAAAGCCCGCCTTATTCCTGCTCCGACTACGTGCGGTTCTGACCAACCATGGTCAAAAAAATGAAGATATACTTAAAATAAGTTTCAAAAACAGCCAGGGGTGGTGGCACATGCTACTCTGGTGGCAGAAACTGGTAGGATGATGGCTTGAGGCTAGCCTGGGCAAACAGTTTTTGAGACCCCCTCCCGCACCCCCATCTCAATCGACTGAAGAAAAGCAGGGCGTGGTGGTGTGTGCCTGTCATCCCAGCTAGAAGGAAGCACCAACAGGAGGTTGGCCCAGACGGCTATGAGACCCCATCTGAAAAATACCTACAGCACAAGGGGGAGGCGTGGCTGAAGTGGGAGAGCGCCAGCCAGGCAAACGCAAGGCCCCGAGTTCAAACCCTAGTACTGCACCAAAAAAAAAAAAAAAATCCAAAGACGCTCAACTCCCCCTGCACGCGTCACACAGCTCAGATGGCGGCGCTCTCAAGTCAGCCGCACGTTACTCAGTGGGTGTAAACTGTCTGCTGAGCGTTTCCTGCCTGCCTCCCCTAAAGCAAATGGGGCCCAGAAGCCGGGTACAGTGAGTATGGTCGAGTGAGCGTTTTAGGCCTGGAAAGCGGCCTGCTGTAGTGCAAGCTGAGCGGTGCTATGCGGAAGGAATCCACACCGCAGCTCAGTGCTGAACGCCGAGTCCCGCATACGTGGTCTTTGCTCAGCAGTGGTCTGGGAGCCGTCCACAGCGGATCCTGAGCACTTTTATATCAAGTTTGTAACTGTCATTGTCAGTTTTTTTTGCAGTGCCAGGGATCCAACCCAGGGCCTGGCACATACTTGTCAAGTGCTCTAACCACTGAGCCACACATTTTGAAACTGCGAAATACAACAGAACCTTCTAGGCAAGGCCAGCCTCGGAAATGCCGCTGTGCACAGCGATGCCCATGGCCTTGTGGTGTGGACAGCCGCTCGCCCCCCGGAGCTTCATCCTGCCCACGACCGGCGACACAGGGAGGGGCCAGGCCAGCAGGCCCTGCAGCACTGGAGCAGGGAGCCCAGGAGCCACCTGGCCTGTACCCGCACCAGCCGACTCAGGATGAGCTGCAGGAGGCACGGTGTGTCCCTTTGCAGGAAGTACCCAGGACAGCTGCTGCGTGAGTTTCCAAAATGTAGGCACAGCAGGGAGAAAGTAAAGCCCTAGTCTGAGGCTGAGGCTGTCCCCTGAGCAGCGGCTTCCACAGCTGGCTGCAAGGCACCCCGTTAGTGCAGGGCACTAGCTCAGGCCCTTAGCCCGGCTCCTCCGGGGAAGCTGCTCCAAGACAAGCGGCCGAGGACTGCGAGCCGCCCCTCCTCCTCCCGCACCTGAGACCCTGTCCAGGGCTCGGTGACAAGTATTCCAGGGCAAGGAGAGAACCTGGGCTAGTCGTCTCTTTAGCAGTGCAGGCTGGACGTCCTGCCATCAGTCCCAGACTTAACCAGGGGTCTGTGGCCAGGGGACTCCCAGAGGGAGAGTTGCCCCAGTAGAGTGTACCAGAGCCTTGTGGGGGACCCGAAGGGACCTCCAGTTCTAGGGATCGATATTCCGGCTGGCCAAGTGGCTCGGGGAGCCGTCTACCCTGAAACCACCTTTTAACTGGACACAGCCTTCGGGGCTGTTTGGCCTTGCAGGGGAAGGGACAGCCATCTGAGTGAAAGGTCTTCACTTCCTCTGCCATCCTGGGGCTGTGGACAGGGACACTGTAGTCAGGGCACACTGAGCCCAGGCCAGCCTCTGCCTCAGGCACCGCACTGAGGCACCTGGACAGTGAGTTGACACCGTTACAGCTAGGTCCTCAGTCAAGAGCTTGAGCCTCTAGGGGTTCAGCAAAGCAAGGCCACAGCAGTCTTTGTGGGAAGCTAGGTCGCCTCAACCCCGACAGCAGGGTCTCCCTCCCACTGCCCGACACTGATGCCAGAAAGCATCAGTGTCCGTGCGGCCCTGCGTCTGGTTAAAAATGTTTTCCGATTTTTAATAAAACGTCAACTTCGGTTTGTCTTTAGCTAGTGACACCGCTTGAAAGTTAGCATAAAACTGATCAGAATGCTTCAAAGTCAAGAACTGACCTGAGGCCGAGCAGCCAGGCCCCTGCCCACTGACTAGAGTCTGGAGGGTTCGTGCCAACAGCACCACCTGGTTTGACGTATTTGAAAGGGTAAAGAGGAAAAGGAACGCCAGACATCCAAGCACTGGATTTCCCATGTGGGTAGGAAGTGCTGGCTGCTTCTGATGGCTCAGGCAGCCACACAGTCACCTCACCTCACGGGATGACGGGGATGGGGGCAGTTAGGAGACGCCCTCCTTTTAAGACCCTCGTATTTGCCAGGTGCCCTGCTACAGAGGAGGAAATGGCCGAGTTCCACACGTCAGCTCAGCTGCACGTCCAACCCTGTCCAGCTCTTTCCACCAAGCCAGTGTTTCAAACTGACTTGTGTGTGGCATGCTTGAGGCCCTGGGCTCGGTCCCCTGTACCACAAAAAGAACGAAAAAGACCTGCACGTGTTTGTTCTCAATGCCGCCAACATTAAAAACCATCTTCAACCCGTCCCTTGAGAGTTCAGGCCACACCTCTTGTCGGAAGCTGCTGAAGCCTCACAGTAAGGTCACCACTGTGGCGCATGTGACCTTCACAAGGTCACTTCTGGGACAGCTGTAGCCTAGGGTTGTGGTTACAGAGCTCAGTGCCAATGGCTCTCTCACTGGAACCATTTTAGTGCTCCGTAACCTTTGGCCGTTTCTCACCTGGTATGTAGCACACAGGCACTGAAAGCAGACATCCAAGAGCCTATTAACTTTTTTCGCTGGGCGCTGGTGACATGTAATCTAGCTATGGAAACATTCTCCAGCTCCCACACCCCTCCAAGTCACTTCAAGAGCAAGTGCCTTGTGTTTAACAGGAGGGGCGCGGGGCTCAAGTGGCAGAGAGCTTGGCCCCGAGTTCCATCCCCAGAACTGAAGAACAAAGGACAAACCCAGGGACTGAACAAACTGTTTGTGGGTGACATGACACGATAGCAGGTCACTGAGTCTGTGAGGCTACAGCGGTCATCAGTGTTACCCAGACCAACACTGCGATCAGCAACCCTCAGCTTCATTTCCTCACAGCATTCCGAGCCTCAAGACCAGCTCACGTTTTCAAAAAATCTTACAAACCCGCCGGGGCTCAAGTGGCAGAGAGCTTGGCCCCGAGTTCCATCCCCAGAACTGAAGAACAAAGGACAAACCCAGGGACTGAACAACTGTTTGTGGGTGACAGTGACACGTTTATTCAGGGTCACTGAGTCTGTGAGGCTACAGCGGTCATCAGTGGTGTTACCCAGACCAGCACTGCGATCAGCAACCCTCAGCTTCATTTCCTCACAGCATCCGAGCCTCAAGATCCAGCTCACGTTTTAAAAATCTTACAAACCCGCCGGGGAGGGAGCGGGCACAGAAGTACAGCGAACGCTTCTGCGAGCACCGCAGGCCAAGCTCACCGAACCGGCCTTGACTGCAAAGTGAGATCCAATGGCGGCATGTAGCGGTTTTGCCGTCCCAGCCTACGGATGCCCCCCAGCCAAGCTCGGCTGACATGGCCTGGCGGAAGGGAAGGCGGCAGGCTCCCCACTGAACCTGCGACACCATGACCTCTACCCAGTTTGCAGCATGGCCAACAGCACGGTTACTCACTGGGGACAGCGGGGGCGGGTGTTTCAGTGTCACCTCCTATTCCTGCCCTCGAGATCTTGTTGGCAACCTCAATTCAGGAGCCAGCTCCTTGAGACTACAACACTGGAGCTCCTGCCACGTTTCCAGCACTTTCTCCACAGCCCTGGCCCATCTTAAGCTCTGCCCTCTGGGCTGAGGCAACTTTCTAAGGAAGGCAAAGTACAAAAAAAGAAGTATTGAGAGCACGGCAGGATAGGGAAATGCAGGGATGAAGTGGGCATCCTGATGGCTCAAAGTCACAATTTGCTTCAGACCAAATCCCTCCACGTGGTGGCCTGAGGAACGCAGGCCCCAGCCCTGAGAACGGCTCTTCACCCACAGCCACTCTCCACAGGGGAGCTCCTTTGCCATCCTGGCCAGGTCTCACCAGTGTCCTGGCTTTTCATCTTCCTACCTGCTTCTGGGGCCCCCAACGGCCTGGAGTGGCAGAGCCAGCGCTTTCACCTGGTGGGGAGTAAGCCATGAGGCCTTAGGTACAGACACGGTGGCCACGAGACACGCAGGTTTCTCACAACTTGGTCTGAACACAAGGCAGGGCCCCCTGTGTGGGCTAAAAGGACCAAGGTGACACCATTTCCCTTTTCTCAGGCACCTGCTGCCAACAGCGGTCACAGCTGCTCTTAAGCGCTTAGTGCTCACACAGGGTACACGTAGGAAGTGACCCTAGAGCCCCAAAAATTCAAGGGCCCCAGGGGGCTTTCAGCAGGTCACTCTTGGGAGCCAACTCACCACCGACCCTGGGCTGCTGACCCCAGACCCAGCCACTCAGCCTTCCCAAGGGAGGAACTGCACGTTACTCTCCCACAGCCGTACAGGACGGGAACCGCGCAGTGTCTGTCTGTCTGTCTCTTCAGAGCAGATCTAGTCCAGACAGAAGTGACCGACGCCACCGCCTTTTCTCAGCTGGAAGCGGAAGTCACAGGAGCAGAGCTTCCGCCTCGGGGGAGGGAGGGCAGGGAACTTCTACTTGGCCACCAAATCTAATCACATCTCATTCTGTTTTTGCCCTCTCCAGTGCCCATATCCGCTTCCAAAACAATGGGCAGAATCACTTTGTAACCTTTCTCCTCCCAACATCTCCTCCTGCCCCTCCGCCGCAGCTGGGGTGAGGCTAAGGGCTCAGAGCAGCAGCAAAAGTAGAAACCCAGAGGCCAGAGGCAGCTGAAGCACTGCTGACGTGCAGGTCATTGTTACGATGCCCAGCTGCTCGGCCCTTTTTTGCTTGGGAGATCACAAGAGGCAAAACCATTAAGAAAACGTTTTGCTGCTGAGGCATCGCCGGGCCTCACGATGCCTCAGCTCCTTGCCAACGTCTAGAGCCAAAAGGAATCTGTCGTTTCCCTTTGCAAAGGTCTGTTCCCAGCCCCTCCTCCAACCATGTCTGTGTGAGCAGGAAAGGGACACAGGGAACCGGCCACAGGGCAAAGAATTAAAGGGGTGAGCAAACGCCACTGTGCAGGACACTCAACTTTATTAGCTTTATTTATATAATATTTAACAATTCTAAAGTATTTACCTCTTGCTTTGACAAAAATGAAAAATATAGGAGCACTGACAGACTCCTCTTTAGGAGAAAAGGTTATATGTACAGCTACGGAGAGTTACGGTTCCTCCTTACATACAAAGAAAACACCAATACAAAAGTGCTTCGTTGATCAAAAAAGGGCTAAGAGCTGCAAGCATTTATTCACACTGTACAACAGACCCGAGAACCCGTATCGGAACCTTGGCACCTGTCACTAGCACTACTCAGGCGTCCAGCATGTCCACGCCTTCCTACCTGCACAGCAGACCGCGCGGGAGAGCGCTACACCCTGTTTCACTAAACCCAGACCCCACGCCAACTCCCACAGCACGAGTGCCAGCTGCGCTCACATCCCCTGGGCTTTGCCAGGGGCTGCTTCCCAAAGGGCAGAGGAGCAGGATTTCCTGACCTTCCCCTCCCTCCCCATCTGCCCTGTCACCAGCTAGCAGCTTTCAGCAGAACCCTGACCAGGAGGGAGGCACAAAACATGGATGCCAATGTTACACAACAAACCTAAACTCTCCACCCGTCTCCACATCCACCGCCACCATACAGATTCTTGATTTAAGGCTCTTTGGGCCCCATATCAAAGCTCACTGAGAAAAGGTGCCCTGAATCTCCTCCGGGAAATGTCACTCTAAGGAACCCTGCAGTCACTGCGTGGCCCTTTACTGCTGGACAGCAGCCAGGAGCAGGGCAGAGAGAGTGCTGGGCCCTTCCTGCTACCCTCAGAAGGGGAGGAGGAGGTGGAAGGCTGATTGTGGGGGGACCTTTGTAACTGAAGGCTGATTCTACCCCTCAGGGGAAAATCCATGATTTGTTTGGTTTGGGAATGGGGAACTTATGGAACCCTGAGTCTGGATTTCCCTGTGCTGACAGAGGAAGAAAGATTGTATGGGGGACGAGGACCCGGAAGGGGCTCCCAGGTGTGCCCAGCTCAGTGCAGGTCTTGGCCACAGCAGCAAGATACCACACTCCAGCCAGCCTGAACCCTTAGGCCTAAGGGTGGGACGCACTACCCAGCATGCCCAGGGAGGCAGCCCCACGAAAGCAAGGGAGCCCAAGACAATTTGGGTCAAGTTAAAGACAGAATCCTCCTCGGGCCAATGTGCTGACCAGCCACCCAGGCCCTTGTCTGCCTCAAAAGAGCACACGCTTCCTTCTCCAGGGGGCTCTGAGTGAGGGTCCCGCTCACTGAATGTCCCTCCCTCCGGCCTCCTCAGGAGCACAGGGCAGTGCTCTCGGGAACAAGGCTCCCAGCTTCGCCAGCAGCAAGGTGTCCAGCCTGCTCTGACCTGGTGGTGGCACGAGAGACCGGCACTAACGTTAGCACTGACTTTCTGCCCTGCTCACGGTCTCCGACCTCCACTCCTGGCTCTGGCCAGCCTTCGCCCACCCAGATGTATTGAGCCACCTCAGGGTGCCTGACAGCAGACAGCCTGGCGGTTACAGGGGGCCTGGCAATCTCTGGTCTTCCATTAAAAAAAAAAAAAAAAAATTAAGACAACCAGGGGACTTTTCTCTTTTTTGAAGGCAAAAGGAGGATGGAAAAGGGAAGGCAGGGGAAAGAAAACTCAACCTACAATCCAGTGGCACATCCCAATTCCTGTCACTCTGCACAGTTAGTGCCATGCCCCCACTCCGAAGTGCATGGGCCTCGGTCTGCCCAGGCTGTACGGGCCTGTCAGAGAACAGCAGCTTGGCCTCTGCCCACCCAGGTCACTGAGCTTCAGTTGGAAGTGGCAGCAATGGGCTTATCCAGTTCAAGGTCAATGCTGGAGCTTGTGGGGTGTAGGCTGCTGTAGCAAGACTTGCACACTCGACTGGGTTCGAAAAGCTGCTGGCTAGGAACCGGAACCTTCTGGTTACAACAGCTGGAGCAGAACACGTTTCCACAATTCCTTGAGAGAAGCAGAAACAAAACACTGTTAGTTTTACCTCGCAGTGTAGTATGTGGTAGGGAAACCGACTCGGGGACAGAATCGGGCTGTAACTGGGCGTGCTGGAGACGCCTCTGAGATGAGACGCTTTCACCCACTCAGCCCAGGGGTTTGCTGAGCAGAAAGGACATCTCCGCCTAGCAGTCCCATGCCACTTTCACTTCGGGGCCGAGGCACAGGCTGCCCCGTCACTGTGGCTCAGGTGTATCAGACGCCCAGGAAGACGCTGCTCAAGAGAGATCTGGGAGAACAAATGGGTGCAGGGCAGAGGCGGCCACCACCTGGGCATGTGGTCATCAACAGGCCAGACTCAAATGGAGCTGCCTCCGGGTCCCGCAACCACCTCACCCAGCTGGGGATGAGAAGCCTTGCCCAATGGCCACTGCCCCAAGGGGAGGCGGCAGACTGCTGTTGACAGCATGCAAAGCCAGAAGTCAGGCAGATCAGGAAGCATGCTCAGAGTGCAAGGGGAGGGGTGCAAGGACGGGATTGGATGCGCACACGGGCACCCCCACACCCATTTATCAGACAGCTGTCAAGTCAGTTCTGGCCCACTGCCTGCCCCATGCATCTCTAGGGAAAGTTAGAGTTCTACCCAAAGGCCTGACTACACCCAAACCCCAGGCTCCTCTCCCCCCTCCATCAAAAGCCCTGCTCGGATGCATCTACGGGGCACAGGTCTCATTACACTCAGGACAGGGAACTGACAGGATGAGTTTCTGCTCATCCCACAACCCAGCCCTTACTGGGCTCTAAAGTACACAGCAATCCCAGTGAACCTAGTGCAGGAGACTCCAAGGGGCCTGACAGCCCATGAAAGATGAGGGAGACAGCTAACAGGAAAGCCTCCTCAGCCAGCACCACTGTCTCAGTCGCACCCCAGAATGCAGACCCACCACTGGATCAGGACCATGGAGCACAGGAGAATACTGAAGACCACGTGGGACCAAGGGAACATCGTAAAAGAAAAGGTGGGACACAGGGCAATGGAGGACAGAAAACTAAAACACCACGTTAAAGTTTCTAGTAGTAAGCACTTTAAAACCTTCTAAAAAGCAAGTACCTGTGGTGAGGCAGGACAATTTCTGAATGCCTACATTTTTTTTTTTAACATGCCTGCTAGAGTTCAGCTCAAAAGCCTGACATGAGCGTGATCAGTAAAGCTTTCTATCTGACTTCCTTCAGAAGACCCTGGAAAACCTAGCTGGAGCCTCCTCTTCGTCTTCTATGCTAAAATAATTCTCTGTTCAGTTCTAGCTCTATAAAAACGAAACAAAGCCAGGCACTGGAATCTCACGCCTATAATCCTGGCTACTCAGGAGGCAGAGATCAGGAAGATCACGGTTCGAAGCCAACCCGAAGCTGGAGCAGTGGCTCAAGGTCTGGGCCTGAGTTCAAACCCCAGTATGGCCACAAAAAAAAAAAAAAAAAAAAGCACAGTGATGCTGTTTAACTTGGAAGTTACTGGTGTCATCCTGGCACGTCAATGAATGATGGGCCCACAAAGAAATAGCTCTGCAAACCCTGCTGGCTCCCCACAACATCAGCCCTTATGGAAGCAGCTTCTTGTCACAAGCACAATGGCCCTGCTGACCTGTGCAGTCAGGAGAGGAGCACAGGCTGCAGCCATATCCACTGGCCTCAATGGTCTCCTGGAGCAGCTGCTGTGGATCCCCAAGCCCACCTGCATGTGTCCCTCAGTCCCCAGCTACGGCCCAGTGAGTACAGAGGGGACAACAGTGTTAGTGTGGAGGTCACTCCAGGTGTGCACACGTCACAGGCAGGCTGTTACCAGTGCTCACCACGTTTGATCAACACGGTCAGTGTCCCTGCAAGGAGGGGAGAGAGCTCAGAGGAGAAGCCAATCAAAGAGACTTGAGGGGACGGCAGGGTGGCTCAAGTGACAGAGAGCCTGCTTAGTGAGTGCAAGGCCCCCAGGACTACCAAACAAAACAAAACAAAACAAAAAAAGACATTTGGGCTTGGAGCACAGAATGGGAAGACACACAAGCCTAGAGACAGCACTGAGAGGGTTTTCCCCGCCACTTTCAATCACTTGCAGGGGTGGGCTATGGCAGAAGCCTCATACACTTCCTCTCCCAGGAACAAACACCCGCTAGACTGTCACCACCCCAGGCGGGACAGAGCATCCCTAGTATCTCACTACCCCAACCTAGAAGCAGCTGGGAGCAGGACGGACTGAAGGCCATCCTCGGCCAGATATTGCCGCTCATCAGTGGCACAGGGGACAAGCCTGGGTCAAGGAGAGGGAAGGAGTAGGAGAAGGAAGTTCCCTGGCCATAGTCAGAAAACTATTTCTGCTCAAAGTAGCCATGCTGAGTTTTATGCTGGGAATAAAAAATGGTGGTTTCAGCGATAGCTGTTGCCCCGCAATTTGAGAAATGCAACAAAAAAGGCTACTATTTGCACATTTCAAAATTTAATGGTGATCGTTCTAACTCAGAATGAAGTCACCAAATGCAGTTCTGAAAGCACCCGTTTCAGAGGCACAGAAGATGTGACCTCAGGGCCTGCCTCCGACAGAACAGAACACCGCAGCCAGGATTCCTGCTACCCTTCACTAGCTGGCTCTGTGAGCCAAAGCCAAAGCCCAGCCCAGCTCAGCCCACCCCTCAGTGGCACCTGCAGTGGTGCTTCCTGCTGGCGAGCCAGAAGGCACTGTCACACGCATAGCAGTGGGCAGCCAGGTGGTCAGGGAGCCAACGGGTCATCTGCAAAACAAATTGGACCAGGTTAGTGACAAGGAGGTGGGACATCCAGCTGGAGCCACAGAGCCATGCTGGAGGCAGTAGGAGTCACTAGGACCACCTTGGCTCCAGTGGTGCCAGCCCAGCAAGTCTGCTGTCAACAGTACAAGAAAGGCGTCCAAATCGTTTCCCTGGAGGGGACTCCAAGCTCCCCTGAGACAAAAGTGGCCGCAGCAGCACCCTGGGTTGCTGTGAAAGCTGGCAGAGCTCCACTTGACAGAGGCAATGGAGAGAGAGGCCCGCTCGCTGAGTCTCCCAGGCTCAGAAATGACGGACCTGACGTGGGCTCCCAGGAGCTGAGGTGCCAGAGGCTCCAGGCTAACGGCTGTGAGCTTCTTCCTTGGCCAGGGGCATGGGGCAGGGATGGGGGTGGAGGAGGACTGCAGGGGTTGAGCCTGTACCTCCGTGTCCTGTTTATCCACCTGCTCCCAGCTGGCTTCAGAGAAAAGCTCTGTGCTGCAGCGAGACAAACAGTTCTGATCCAGAATGCTTTCCGAGTCAGGGATTGAAGTCTGTTGGCAAACAAACACAGCTGAGCACAATGAACCTGGTGTCCTCCCAGAAGAAGAAAAGGCTTGGTGAAGAAGGGAGCACGGGGTCTCTGGGTGGGCCCGAGTGCTAGGCTGCCCAATCTGGGTCCGTCAGGCTTGGGTTGACCAGTGCAGACACGAAGCTGAGCTAGTCAGAAGAGGGACACACGGGTTGGGTGCAGTGACACTGGAGTAGAAAGATGGACCTTAGGGTTCTAGGAAGTGAGTGGAACAGAAGTGACCAAGATGGAATGGGAGTTCCCAGTGTCAAGTGCTCTCCAGTGGCTTGATGATCCAACCCTGCCACTTAAGTTTAAGACAGTGCTGTGGCATGCCCTTTCTCTGAAGGACAATTGGGGACAATAAGAAACCCTCATTATCATGAAGGAAAAACCAGTAAGTTACTTTAGATTGAAAGTCATTGGATGTGCTCGCCTTTAATGTACGCTGCTTCAGAGACCAGCTCACACTTGTACTTGACAGACTATTCAAAGAAAGCCCTGCTAGAAGCCTCCCCTCTAGTACCCTATTTTCTGGCCACCAAGCCACATCAGCACTAATTCCCCAGCAGTGTTTAAAAACAAAACAAAAAACAATCCCTTCTCTCCTCCCCACTCCTCCCTTTTTGAGACAGGGTCTTGCTGTGTAGCCCAGGCCTGGTCTCAAATTTGAAATCACCCTGAGTGCTGGGATTATAGGCATGCCCCACCTGGTCCCATTCCTTATCATTTCTACTGCTAGCATTTGCCACAGGGCCGGTATAAATATTTACTTAAAAAAACTAAACCTTCAAAGTTCCCAGAGTCTGACAAGGCTACCACTTTACGGTTTGTAAGGCAGGATGAGCACTGGGAGTACTTGGTGCTGCCCTCCAATCCTTCTGGCCGGAGTTCAGGCCCTCCTGGAGAGACGTGATGGCCATGTGGCGCATGCTCTCTCCCTCTCTCTGACTGCCTAGGTGGGACGTGGAAAGTAAGCAAAGCCCTGGCTGAGGATGACCTCCAGCCACTCAACAGGGTGACCTGGGAATTTTTGATCCTTTGTGGAATCTGTCACAGTCACCAGGTATGGGAGCCACAGGTGCCCAGCGTCCTCAGGCACCTTTAACTCACCACTTCATCTCCAAAGTCCCCATTGAAGCGCAGAGAGCTCGTCAGGTACTGGCTCTCCAGGCGACTCTTCAGCTCCTGGACTTGTTTCTTCAAGGTCTCCACTTCCTGTTGGTGGCCCGACTCGATCTGACGCAGGCGCTGTTGGATGGTGTCTGTGTACACAGGCATGCCATCATCATCCAGGTGGCTGCGGGAAGGCTGGTCAGGGCTGCTGGTGGCGGATGGCCTCCCCAAATGACTGTGCAGCCACTTGTGGTGCAAGTTCCTGAATGTAAGTGGGCAGAGGTACAACTTGTGGCAGACAGCTGGCGGCTCAGTGAGTCTTTGTTCCGCCCAGCCTCCCCATTGGTGCAGTGCCCATTGGGTGTGGGGTACTTCTGGAAGGTGCCAAGCCCAGCAGGCTGCTCTGAGACCTTGTTTTCAGTCTCTGGGGTGCCGTTGCACACAGGCCCCTCTTTACATTCAGCTAAAGGCAAGGCACAAGGGACCCGTGTCAGGCTAAGCGTGCTGCCCGAAGTCCTGTGTGCTGCAGACCCACCTTGGGGTCGCTCGACCAGGCTCCTCTCCACAGGCCTGGGCTCCAGCGCTGGGGGAAGCATGTCCTTGCCACTGAACCTACCACTGATTACCAGGCAAGGTCTACGATAGACTTGAGGCCCACCTTCTGACTTCATCGTCTCTTCTATTAACATGTCCATGGAACGGTCCGTATTTGGTCCTCTGGTCTCAAATGGGACTTGAGAAGTTAGCAAAGAACCAGACGGTGAGGTACCATAGGCAACTTTTGTATCTACCAGGATGGGAGGAGCCGAATCCACCCCACCCTCTGCAGGGTCCCCTATTCGAGGCTGCTCCTCAGGGGCCTCCTGGGAATCCTCTCCCTTGGGAAGGGCCTGCAGAGAACCAGGGAGAACACGGTGCCCACCGTGCTGTTCAGGAACACCCTGTGAACACAGAGACAGGCTGCGGTCTGGATGGCTTCTCAGAGAAGCATCATCCAGCTCTGGTTCTTGGTCAAGTACAACGACTGAGCCCTCAGTCACCATCCTCCTGCTCTTCTGAGGTAAGGGTGCCTCCTCTTTGACCTGTGGCATTTCGATGCCGCCCCTGTGGGCAGGCTCCTCAGCTCCACTCTCTTCTTTGGTGGCCTCTTGCAAAATGTTCTCCATCTGCGCTTCAGCTACTCCAGCAGCCACAGACAGCTCAGCGCCCCCTGGCCCCCTGCTGGGCTTCCCCAGGCTGTCGGTGGTGGGTGCAGAGGTGGTGGCAGGAGGCTCCTCCCCAGGACCAGCCAGGCTGCTCAGCTCCAGTGAGCGCCGATGTTCCTGCCACTTCTCATTCAAGCTGGGGTCACTGCTCCGCCGGCTGGCCAGAGGCACTGTACTGTCACACACAGTGGTCAGATTGTCAAATGATCTAGTCTTTGGTAGCCTAAAAGAAAGGAGCATGGAGAAAATGAGAATCTCGGAGGCTACCCAGGGAAGTAGGAGACGACAGGTATTAAAAAGCTGTGGTGTCACAGTTGGGTTCATTGCAGCCACTGAAGGAGCCACAAGTCTCTGGTGAGGCTCAGGTCACTGGAGCAAGGCTCCCCAGGGGTGCTCCTGCTGTCTGCACAGCTTCCACCCCATGCTCCATGCACACCAGTAGGTTAATGCTAACAGCAAATGCTATTTCAAAAAGGCATTCTTCATGATGCTGTGTGCTATTCAGCCGGTGGCGGAGTAGCACTGCCGATTCTTTGATATTACAGTATCTTAGGTTAATTTGTTACCTTTCATTCTGATATAAATAAAGCAAATTCACAAGTGGCAAAGCCACAATTTCTATCACTCATAGCATCTGCCTTTTAAGCCTTTAGAAGAAAAATCAAGGCAGGAGCAGAGAGCAGTGGGCAAAACAGAAAACAGGGTCACAAAGTGCCCAGAAGATATGCCCTGTCGCTAAGAAAGCACTCAGTGCATGCAGTAGATCAATTAAGCAAGGGACTAACTCACTTCCAGAAATAAGCGTTTTCTCTCTTCCTCAAGGAAGTAAACGTCAGATCTAAGACACATCCAAGGCAAGGTCACGGTCTCCGGTCGTCCCAGGCCCCACCCTCACAGGAACACAGCCGCAGGGCCTGAGGCCTGTGGCATCGCCCATAGGCTTACCGGCTCAGGGGGGGATCATCAGGGCTGGTGCCGGGGGCTGGGTATGGTGCACAGCTGTCGTCCACGGGAGTCGACGGGGATGGGCACGGCAGGTACACAGCACTCCACAGCATCAGGTTCCGCACGTGGCACACAGGGTACAGCACCTGAGGACAGAGCGGACACAGGCTTAAACATCCTGAGAAGTCTCTTAGAATTGTCTAGAAATGAAGACCGAGAACAAGCACCCAGGCAGACCACCCAGCAGTACGGCTAGAGGCAGGTCTATCTCCCAAGAGGACAGACACAGGACTAGAGACTTCGTCTGGCAACATTTCTCACTGCAGTGCCTCTTGTGGGCATGAGAATCAAAGGATCTTTTAAAGATCCACTTCTCATTAATTCTTTCTCGGGTCACCTTCACTGGATAACTGACTTTCATCAGCTTGATTTGCTACTTTTACCAGTAAGAAAGTCATTTTATTAGATGGTACAAGAGCTTGGCTTCAGCAGAAACTGTCAACCCTATTTTAAATAGGGTCATTTAAATTAAACATATGAAAAAGATGGAATTTTCTTCCTGTATCAATATGTCCCCAGCAAGCACAGTGAAGGAGGGAGAGAAGCAGTTAGCTTACATCTCTCTTTGATTACTTAAATGCAACAAGAAGCATATTAATTGCCCAGCATAGCAAGATAACCCCTGATTAGCCCGTTTTTGACTTAAGGGTTTAAGATGCACTCTGACAAAGGGAACATCACCACATACTGACACACAGACAAACGCACCTCCTTGTGTCTTCTTAACAGAAGGCATCCCTTTGGGGAATAAAATTTTAAAAGGCCTGCCAGCCCTCCTTGTGAACGAAATCACACAGACATATATGCCAACATCAGAAATTCATGTACTGAAGCAAAAGCCTCAGTGGGTATCACTGCCTGGTGTCTGGGGGGCTGCTGGGGCTGGGGCCACACCTTCTCAGCCACAAGAGGCATCCAGGAAACAACTGAAGTGCCTCTTCCACCAGTCAGAAGAACATTAAACTCTGGAGAAGGTGCCAGAGAAGACTCATGTCTAGGGTAGCAAAGTAGAGATGTGTATTACCTCAAACCACCCTGAGCACACAAGGGTCAGCAGAGGTCAGAGCATCACCAGGAAACAGGCTTTGCTTAGAATGCTAGGAGGAAAATGGAGCCAGCCCCTCCAGAGACAGCAGACCGGCCTTCACAAAACAGACCCTACTCAAACAGGCTCCCGTATGTCCCCCACCCCCAAAGTCCTTCTGCTGAGTACAGAGGACAGGCTGAAGGATACATACAGCTTCTGACTGAGAGGAATACAGGAGGTTTCTAAAGGCCTTGTTGCCTGCCCGGAGGAGTGACCACACAGAGCACGTCCGTTCCTGAGTATGCTTTTCTCCTCTCTCCTTGGCGTTGTTGCACAGGAATGTTCCAAAGAGGCAGGAGTAGGTATGCTGCACCAGTTTCACCTGCGAGAGTCCAATGAGGCAAAAGCACACAGGCTCTCAGGGAGAAGGTCAGCTCAGCTGAAGCACTTCACCCCAACATCCAGGAGCACTTCAGCTCACTGCCAGGGTCAAGGAGCCCAGCAGACCTTGTACCACCAATTCCAGGGCCTGACCCCAACTACCAGCATTTCCGAGTCGAAGATAGACCCATGTGTCCCCATTCCCCTCAACTTCCCCAATAACCATCCTCCAAGCTTGTGAGTTAAGAGTCTCTCACAAGCAACAGAGCACACAGATGGATAGCGGGGCAGGGTCGGTGTGCATAAACCCACGTCTAAGCTAAAAGCACACCTGTAAAACTACTCGTTCACTCAACAAATCACTGAACATTGCTCAGTGCCCAGCAGGACCACAGGCACTGCCTCTGCTCCCTGATGGAGCTTGTGCTATTTGTTGTGGAGGACCATAAGGCATGGTGACAGGGCAGGTGCTGGGCAGTGGGAAAGTCTCACTAGGGAGACCCGATGGAATGGACAGAGGAAGTCACGTGGGTATCTGGGGAAAATGCTCCAGGAAGAGGCAACGACATATGGCGAGCGTGTGCCTGTGAGGCCAGTGTGACTGAAGGAGATGGCACAACAGGAAGAATGACAGGAGGTGAGCCTAGAGAGCTACCCTCTGAGAGGGCCCTGAAGAAGACTGGCTTCTTCTCTGTGTGAAATGGGCCACTGGAGGATCCGAAAGAGGACCAACACAGTCCAGCTAGTATTCAGAAGGATCCTCCCGTGTGAGACTGACTCTCTGGAATCAGGGTAGGAGAACATGGTGACTGGCATGGCACCAACAGAAGTGGCAGGAAGTAATTAGGTCATAGATATTTTGACAGCAGAGCAACAGAATCTATAGATTATAAAAGAAGAGCGTTCACATGAACTCTCACATTTAGGACTGTACCCTAAATGTACAGAAGGATGGAATTCCCATATAGTGAGGTAAAAGACTCCTGGAAGAGCAGGTTTTGGAAGATGCAGAAATCAAGAACTGAGTTTTGACTGAAATGTTCTGGAAGAACAAAGGACACAGTCACTAGACTGAAGAGAGTCTACAGAATGGGAGAAAATCTTTGCCAGCCAGCCAGCCATCTGACAAGGAATTAACCAGAATTTACATAGGGCTCCAAAAACTAAATTCCCAAAGAATCAACAACCCAATGAAGAAACGGACAAATGAGCTGAACAGACATTTTTCAAAGAAGTAAGAGCAAATGGCCAATAAAATATACGAAGAAGCGCTCAGCATCCTTGGCTGTGAGGGAAATGCAAATCAAATGATACCGAGATGTCACCTCACTCCAGCCAGAGTGGCTGTCAAGAACACAAGCAAGAGCTGGCAGAGTGTCTCAAGTGGTAGAGTGCCTACCTAGCAAGTATAAGTTCAAACCCTAGTGCCACAAAAACAAACAAACAAACAAACAAAAAAGGAACACAAACACCACCAGATGCTGGTGGCTCACACTACTTGGGAGGTGAAGATCAACAGGACCAAGGTTTGAGGCCAGCCCAGGCAATAGTTCATGAGATCCTACCTCCAAAATAACCAGAGCAAAACGGACTGGACGAGTAACTAAAGCGGTACAGCTCCTGCTTTGCAAGTGTGAAGCCCTGAGTTCAAACCTCAGCACCATCCACCCAAAAAAAAAAAAAAACCCACAAACAACAAATATTGGTGGATTGTGAGAAAAAAAGAAACCCTATATGCTTTTGGTGGGAATGTAAACTAGTACAACCACTATGGAAATCAGTACAAAGGCTCCTCAAAAAACTAAAACTAGAATTGCCATATGATCCAGCAATGCCACTCCTAGCATATAGCCAAAAGAATGCAGATCTGGATACAATGCAGACACCTGCATACCCATGTTTACTGCATCGCTACTCACGATAGCAAAGCTAAGCAAACAGCCCTGTGCCCTACAACTTGTAAAAGGATTAAGAAAATGTACTATCTATACACAATGGAGCATTATTTTGCCATAAAGAATGAAACTCATTTGCAGATATATGGCTACAACTGGTAAATCATGTTAAACAAAGTAAGCCAGATTTAGAGAGACAAACATTGCATCTTTTCTTTCAGATGTAAAGACAGACCCTACAAACATATACATAGATACAATCAGGATCATTCTTTGTGTGTGTGTAACATGTTTGTAATAGTGGACTGTTTGAGGGGACTAGGAAGAGGAAAAAAAGAGAATGACAGAGTGAATAATATGGAAATTCCTGCCAAGCGCTGGTGGCTCATGCCTGTAATCCTAGCTACTCAGGAGACAGAGATCAGGAGGATCATGGTCTGAAGACAGCCTGGGCAAACAGTTCAAGATTCTACCTTGAAAAAACCCATCACAAAAAAGGGCTGGTGGAGTGGCTCAAGGCACAGGCTCTGAGTTCAAACCCCAGTACTGCAAAAAAAGCAAATGAAAATTCACTGCATGTGTGCAGGAAGGTGGCATAAGCAAACACACTGAGAGCTGCTGACTGACAGGGAGTGGGAAGGAAAGGTGAGGGGGAGAAAGAGAGGACTTTGACCTGATTCAAGTACAAACATTCACGGGTGAAATGCCATGGTGAGATGTTTTGAATAATGAATATACACTTAAAAAATGAAAGACTGGGATGTAAAACAGGTCCTGACAAGGGGTGGAGACTAGTGGGGGAGAGGATAGATGAAGAGAATGAAGGAGGGGGAATATGGTTGATATATGTTCTATATTTATATGAAAATTTTTATAAAAAAGAACCGGGTTTTAAATGTATTGTTTGAAATGCAATGAAGACACCCAAGTGGAGAAGCAATCTTCGGTTGAATAACGTGAAGCTGGAAATAAGTGGAGAGGACTGAGTTGAAGGTGTACACATCAGACTCTTCGGCCTACACACAGTTAAATCCACTGGACTGAATGAGAGCCTCAGAGAGCTAGCGAGCCTGGAGGCTGAGCCCTGGGGCATTCCAACATTTAGAACCAAGAAGAATCAGTGAAGGAGATTCTTCACTAGACCAGCCAGCAAAGGAGGAGAACGAAGAGAAATGAATGCTGTAAGTTAACTGAAGAAAGCATTTCAAGAAGAGTTAAGCCAGGCTCATGCCTATATTCCTAACTACTTGGCAGACTGACGTGGTAGGACTGCAATTCGAGGCCCTTCCGGACAAATAGTTCACAAAACCTCATCTCCAAAATAACCAGAGCAAAACTGACTGGAGGCATGGCTCAAGTAGTTGAGCACCTACTTTACAAGCACAAAGCCCTGAGTTCAAATCCTAGTTCCCCACAAAAAACTGTGCCAATGATAATAATGGATCAAAGATAAAAACTAAGCACTGACCACTAGACTAGCAACCTGAAGGCCACTGACACCCGAACGAGAGCAGCTTTGCCAAAGTGTGACAGAAGTGTGTTTAAGAGAATGAGAAGAGAGGAACTTGTAATAGCAAGGGGAGACTAGAGGAACTCTGCTGGAAAGGAGACCACACCATGCGTGATCCAGGAGAGAGGGGACCTGCTGATGCAGAAGAAGAGAGGGCAGTGCTAAAGCCAAACAACAGAACAGGAAGAGGAATGGAAGTGCTGGAGGGCGAAGCTAGCCCACTGTCCATCTGTCAAGAGGAGAGGGCGGAAAACATGGAAGATGGCATTGCTAAGTGGGCGGAGGGAGCATGGGACATTCTGATTGCTTCATTTTTAACTACTATTTAGGATAGCTATCCTCCTTTTTAAAAGCCAAATAAATTTAAAACAACTCAAAGTGTGTATAGGTAAACCTGGTACAACTAGGTTGACTTAGTAAACAAACTTTGCTTATTGCCGTTGTTCTTAAATACAAACAGAATCACTCCTCTCAAAATTCTAGCTTCATGTGAAGACTAGCTCACGCCCATCAACGGGACACCTCCCCTGCACTAGGCGGTTCCCAGCACACAGAATCACAAGCCCAGACTCACAAGGAATGCTTCATTGAACTCAAAAGAGCAAGGAAATTGCCTCTGAAGCTGATGAACGCAGTCAAGCCACTGCAGAAACACTGGGCAGCGCTCATTCAGGTCGTCCGAGTTCTCCCCATGGCCACACCGGTCAGCAAACTTATGGCCAAAATCCAGCCACTCCATCTCCACAAGGACCTGGAAACCCTGCAGTGAAGCCCAAGAACAGACCAGTTGTGCTGGTGTCACTTACGGCCACCTCTAAGAGCTTCCCAGTAAGCTCCTCTAGCCCAGGCCCACAGCCAGAGGTCTATCCCTGATGGAACACATGCTCAGAACAGTCTCCAATTCCCCAAACTCTACTCTGTAGTTACTGAATGAGCACCTATGTTTCTGCCACCTTTCATTAACCACCTAAAAAACACTTTCTCCCCCAAATTTATCTTTTGAGGTTTCTGCCTTTGATGTTCCATTCGTAAGGTTGTATTTGTAAGCAAGCTTCCCTACCCCAGACTTTACAAACGTTTCCACTTATTGTAGGGCACTTTAGGTTTTCTTATCTTTAATCCAACAGGTGGTTATTTCAGAGCAGGGCTCCTCCACAGAATGCCGCGTGGTACTATCTAGAACCATTATTGGCGTGCTAAAAAAGTCCTTTTAGCTATCTCATTTTCCTGAGATAGCGAAAACTTTTCCAAGTAGATAGGCTGCAAAGGAAACCATGTGTTCCCAATATCTTGTTACCTGAATTTTAGGAGGCACAAGTACTGCAGGAGGCACCTGTATAGTGCAGCTCAAGGTAAAGGAAGAATGAGCCGAAACAAGCTTCACCTTCTTTAGACCTCTCACCACAGCCAGAACCAGTCATAAAACCCTGAGCGGTCCCCACTCCATCTCCATGAGGATATCAACTGCCACTCTAAGACGCACTCACCTCTACGGTTCGGTAGTACGGGTCCAGCAGGAGCTTAGCCAATGCCACGATCTGGGGGGTGCGGTCCCAGCCATCTGAGCAGTGCACCAGCACTGGGCGCTGGTCCCGGTCCACAGCATGCACCACCAGCAGTGCCGACTTCAGAAGCACGGACAGGTGATGCAGCCATTTTGTGCTTTCAAGAGCTGAAAGCCAACTATAAGAACAGGAATGAACGAGGAAATGCTGATTTTAGGATTTATTGCATCATGCCCGATGCCTGATCGATTAAAAAGCAATTCCCCACAATCTGTCTCTCCAAATACAGTACTGCCAAAATGAAGAGAAATGGGTTACAAAGCATCCCCAAAGATAGACAAGCTTTATATGCAACAGAGGAGAACCTTAGAAACAGGGGCGTGCACCTGTTTCAGAGTACACCATCTTCGTACTGCTAGGGGTAATTTCCCAGAGAAAATCAGTATTTAACATACTTCAGTCCATGCTAGCTACCTACAGTGTAAGTGGCTCTGGCTGGAATGTTCTAAGAGCAACTTTCATGAAATGTAAAACAGAAGATATTTAATGATCAGCAACTCTGCCTAACAAGTTCTCTAAAAAGTAAAGAAAACTCATACATACATGTGAGAGGTAAGTGGGGCCCACACATGCGAGCGGTGCAGCATCACCCGTGACCCACGCCCTGACCCCACTTCTCTTCAAGTCTTGAATATTTATTGACTAAAACCGGAAGACCCAACAAAATGATTTCAGCTGGTATAAGTTAATATACTGATGGCCACTCAGTACAGCTGGGCTTAACCCAGACTGGATCTAGAAGAAGCTTTCGTTCAAAAGGCCTTCAGGAATATCAGATAACAAGAACTGCCTCCTGGGAGTAATCACACGATGACAAACACACTTGGTGTTTTCAACTGTGCTGGTGTTTTTTCCCTTGGCTTCCCTGACCCCTGCTTCCCCTATGTTCTGATGTTTCCCAAACGTGGTCAGATTTGTAGTTTAAGACTGTTAAGTCCAGCTCTTCAAACACTGAGTCACAGAAAGGAATAAATAATTCTGTCAGGGAGCTGAGACAAAGCTTTGCCAAGACTAGGCCTGTAGGACACGGCTACAAAGGTCTGCTGAACCATGGGAAATGAATGTGAATTCCTCCCAGAGTCTAAGGAGAGGGTCTTCCCAGCCACAGAAGCAGACAACAGGCCGCAGTGCATAAGCACTGGTTTCACATAGGTTGGTCTATGAACCAAACTGTGACTTGGGTGGGGGGGGCGGGGGCGCTGACACTGTCTCTCTGTCATAGCTCTACCCCAAGCTCAGTGTGCAGAATGCAGGGAGGAGCCCTACTGTTTAGTAAGTTACATGTCTATCGTGGGTGAAAATCCAATCTCAAGACTTTCGATCTCCTAGTAGGTACCTAAGGAACACCTTGACCAGATGGGTCAGGAAAGTGTTTACTCCCATTCCTCACATGGTCTTGAAAGAAACCAAAAGATAAAGCTTACGAGAATAAAACCAATTATCCCCCTGCCACTGGAGAAAAGGCAAATGAGAGAATCAGCGTAGGGCTCTCCTGCGCTTGACCACATCTGCTGGGAAAGGCCAGCTGATGGCATCCATGCTGCTGTGGCCTGCCTGCACTGCTGTCAGAGTGCAGCAGGAAGCATACGTGCCTCCAGCCTCCACAGCCCCACATGGTGCTGGGGCTCACTAAGAGCATTCTGTCGCTCCACAGCTTCTTTTTATTCACAAAGGGGGCCTCAACACTGCATTATGCTTTGATGCCTTCTTTAACAAAATTCCCCATTCACTTATACCAAGTAAGGGCTGTGGTTTTTTATTCTGAATTCAAAAAATAGCTTTCTAAGAAACAACTTCAATATGCCAAAGGTATCAGACACCAAGTAGCTCTGATCTAGCTCTCACTGCATAGACAGGAAAACAGATCCACAGTCATTAAGCTACTCGGCCAAGGTCACACAATCAGGGTCCTCCTATGAGAGGGAGCTGCTAGCCAGGCCCTGAATCCCCAAAGAAAAATGGCGAGCTCCTCAAAGGACACCTGCTTCCCCCTCAGGGCTGCCTGCAGCCAGGTGAACTTAACCGGTTGCTCCCAAGAGTCAGTACAAGAGGTTCAGGCAGCACCTGATTTAATAAATCCAACAAAGAACAGAGCAAGGCGTGATGGGGCCGTGAGAGCTACTGAACAGGACCCAGGGCAACACAGACACCAGAAAAAAAGAAAACTGTCTTCTCTGGCACCAGCTCTGGCTTCCTGAAATAGTAAAACAGGGGGTTAAATATTTATCCATCCATATCTGGCCTCGCTGAGCACTATTTCTGATTTATCTTGTATTCGAACAGTACCCTCTGCAGGGGGTGCTACTGGCCTCACTATAAATGCCAGTCATTCATTTTTAATAAGCAGTAAAATCATGGTGTTCTTAGTAACAAGAGCTTAGAAGCAGACATCAAAGGAACTGACCAAGTGACAGGTTTAACCCTTTAGAGCACAATGCATAAACTGACTCCTTGTGGTAAGACACCCCATTTCACAGCAGCGTGTGTCACCACGCCCAAGGGACTCAACTGCTCTGGGCTGAAAACGATGTGGAAGAGAAGGGGCTGTCCCAGGGAAAACAAGAAGCCGCAGCTTCGGCTTGGGGTCTCTGAAACCTTTCAGGGCTCATCTTTTCTCCACTCCTGCTCGGTGCTACCTGATCCAGGAAGAGGACTAGCCAGAGGTTGAAAGCGTAACTGAAGTTCACCAAGAAACAGAAGGAAAGACACCTCCAAATTCAGTTTTGTTTTTTTTTTTAAAAGAGCACTGCAAAATTAAAGCCAAGGTCTTACTTTCCCGGGTCTGGCATCTGTGTGCACAGCAGCCGCAGAGACTGAAAACTTCTCCGGATAGAATGAATGTTTGCCATCCCCATAAACACAACTTCACAGTTCGGGTAATACTCTGGAGAGAACAATAAAGAGAACACAAATACATTGAATTTCAAGCCCACATGGCCAAATTTAAAAGCAGCAAACTGGCTATAAAACAGCCTACTGCAGCTGCAATGTGGCAGTGCTCAACTATCAGCCCAGCTCTTTGTTCTAAGACGAAAACAATGCTTGCATTTTAGCTGTCTTTGGGAAAAGACAAGGAAGGTTAGAGCTGCAAAGAAGGTTCTCACATAAAGTAAAGGCTGTTACCTTTTAAAAAGAAAGGCCTACAAACCTCCATCTCACTTCATTTCTGGGCCTCATCTGGCTTTGGCAGAACAATGCCTTCCCGTGGTCAAGTTTTACCCTCCCTGGTAGAGCTGCTTTTTTACAGTTTCCTGCTTCACTTATACCTGAATTAGGAACACCCACACCTCCACTGCACCATCAGCACCTAACTGGCAGGAAGGGTCCCTCCCCGGGGATAGCCCGCATTCAAACAGCAGGGGAGTGACAGGTCTGCACAGGGCATTGCACTAGACTTGTAGGTTTTACTGCTTCAAATTTCACCCCAGGTTTTCCTAGGGAGAAGCCTTGTAAGGATTTGCTAGGAGGCCAGTGATGAGTGTATCCACTGTCACAGGCAACAAAATCCTTTACAAGGCTGAGAAACTGAGCCTCAGAGCAGCATCCAAGTATGAACAGGCCTCATGGGACAAGCTCTGCTTTCCTTGTCACCTAAAGGTCAGCACAGAGACAATCATTTGTCTTCACAATACCTCCCCCTCCATTTCTGCCCAGGAAAGAGCACACAGTTACAAAGCTAAGAAGAAGTGCTGGCTCTCTCAGGACAGGCTTGTCACTCACTTCAAACTGAGAACTGAGTCCAGGTGGGCATGGGCTGCACTCACAGGGACGGAGCACTGGGGTCACAGGGACAGAGCACCAGGGTCACAGGGTCAGAGCACCATGCACCTCACCTGGACACTCGCAGCCTCCTCCTTTGGCTCGGTTTGCCACAGCTGCTGCGTAGGAGCGTGCATCCAAGATCAAAAGCTTCTGTGGCTGGATGGCTAAACTCTCTGCTCCAGACGCGTTTGACAGAGAAGAATCTAGGGACAATGGGGGTAGGGGGACTAAATGACTCTCTCTCCTAGAACTGAAAATTAGAGCCAAACACACATTACAGTACGAAAAGAAAAGCTCAATTGAATAAAACCCTCTCAGCAGCCCCTTGACACACAGATCTTGTCTGTCTCCAGTTTACTCTCTGTTCTGTCTCACTAACGAGAAGGATTTACTTTCCAAGACCGACTCTTGCAACACACGGAGAGCCGCACAGCCCGGTCTCCTACCTTCATTTCCACTACTGTCGTCCTTTCACGAAGCCTGGGATTTCCCTCCATGGACTGGAGACGGTGAAAATTCTCATCACACACGTAATCCCATTCTTGTCATCACACATGCAACTCCAGTCTAGGGTCTTCTAGTTCTTTGCCAAGACCCATGACCCCTCAAATGATCCCATCAAAATTGTCTCTTCTATAAAAAGAGACTACTTTCTAAGAAAAGACCACCTCCAGAAAAGGTTCTCAGATGCCGTAAAACTGCTGCCACTGATCCAGCGAGCAACTCACCAAAGTCCGCATCGGAAAGGTCTCCCCCATTGGGAAAGTCCCGAGAGCTGTTCCTGGTTGACAGCTTGCTCCCGCTCGATCGGGAGTCGGAGGCACAAGCTTTGGCTACTGACTGCACCAGATGCTCGTCATCCGCATTTCGCCAGCCCCACCAGCTGACCTCCGGCTGTCCACAGCGGGCAATGACAGCGCCGTTGCTCTGGTGCCTGCGTGGGGAGCAAGAGACAACTGTGCCATCCCAGGGACATCCACCATTCAGATGCTCTATACTCACCCAAAAAGTAAAGTGCTTGATTTCAAGCAGGTTAACGAATAGCCCGCCTCTAGTATTAGACTGGCTTCAAGTCCTCTCAGTATTAAAGGGGACAGAAATCTTAACACCAACAATAACAAAGTCTATGTATATCTTTCTCACTCATACTATTGTAGAGATCTCTATAAACTTACCAACAAAATGATAAATGTGTACTCTTAAGACTAAGTAATATTCACAATTTAAATATTTGAACTTTAAAACTGACTTTGGGTAAACAAGGTAAAAAAATCTACAAGTACTGACTAACTCAGCACTAGTTCCTCCTCTCTAACACTGAGTCTAAAGACCTCGGCATAACAGACGCTGGAACAGAGAGATGTGCTGCCTGCTGACTCCCGAGTGTCCACCACAGCAACCACACTCACAACTGGCTTGGCGATTTTCAGTCACATCCCGCCTTTGGGATTGGAACACTTATTTGGTCCACTGCGGACTGCTTTACAAGATCTCTTGAGTCAGACTGCTCCTGTTATAGGCATATAACTCAGTGAGCCAGCTACCCTTCCTCGGGCTCTTAGAAAGGAAGAGCAACTTCAGTAACCGTAACTTTCATCTTTTTCCCAGAGCGGAGAGCATACTCATAGTCCACTTTAAGGAGGTATGAATACCCCAGCTGTGTCTTCACTAGGCCATTACAGCGATCAGGAGGTTAGAGCAATCATCATTTGGAAGGAAGAAGGAATAAAGCTCTGATGCGTGCTACAGCACTGATGAACCTCGACTGTGTTACAAGAAGTGAAATAAGCCAGTCACAAAAGGCCATGTATTGTAGAACTCCACTTATGCGAAATGTTCAGTACAGGCAACTCTATAAAGACAGACAGCAGACTACTGGTTACCTGGGTCTAGGGAGGTTGGGAAAAGAATGTGGAGTGACTAAGAATGAGTATGAGATTTCTTTTTAAGGTGATGAAAATATACGAAAATCGCTGAAAATATACTAAAATCGCAGTGATTGCTGCACAGCTCTAAATGTATGCTAAAAGTCAATGATCTGTACACTTAAAAAGGTTGAACTTTATGGATATACCTCAGTAAAGCTGGGGTGTCTGGTATAAAAATAATCAGCTAATTGTTAAAATAAATTATCAGAATAAAAAGCTGCTGGGATGGGGGAGTGGTTCAAGTGGTAGAACACCTGCCTGGCAAGTGTAAGGCCCTGAGTTCAGACCCCAATATTGTCAAAAACAAACAATAAAAAGCTGGCAAGCAAAAATCCAAATGTCTCTCAATGCAGATATATATCCCAGAGGAAAGTGCCCACGTCCTTCTTAAAGCTGCCTTTCAACATGTACGTGCAAATGCACACACACACACGTGTGACGTGGCAGAGGTGGGTCTAAATAAAACAAAGTGAATCTATTTGTCTTCTTTAGGGAACACTAGGAGAGAGACTGTTTTAATACTACAGCTCAAGCAATACATTAAATGTGGCAATAATCAAATTCCACAGGGACCAGCGTTTTCTTGTGGTTTGGACCTCCCTCGCCGTGCGACTAAGGGGCTGAAAGTACCAGCACACTGCCAGCTGGCTCCCTGCTCACACGCTGACTGACACCACACAGGAAGTATGACCTAATGAAGCCTCATCACGCCTCCTTAAAATAACAGGCGCTGGTGACCCCAGCTGCACAACAGGCCCTCCCGGAAGAGGCCTCCCCGCACTGTTGGACAGGAACGTTAGGTGGCACTCGTCAGCCTTGGTCTTGGGTTTGAGGCCACTGTCTGGGCTCACAATACTAGATTCCAACCCATTTACTGCAAGTAGTTATGCTTTCTGAAGTCTTCTAAAATGCTTCAGAATGCACAAAAAGTAACTCAAACATTAGTCAGTCAAACCACTTTAAAAAAGGGATTTCTATCACTTTAACAAACAGAACCAGGAAAAGTACAAAAGGTAGAAATTTGTAGCCGGGTCCCACTTCCTACATAAGCACAATTGGTTTAATTATCCTTAACTTGGTTAGGCAAGCTCCCCATATGACTAGGAGTTTCTAATGGTCACCACGTGCGCAAAGAGGGGCGCTGTGAACTGCATTACAGATGGGTGCCTTTTGCACCACCCTGCTGTTAGAGCAGTCTCTATCCTCAGCTATAAATCCAATGAAGTGTTCTTCACAGTAGGAGAAAGCACTAAGCAGGCGCCAGTTCAGTGTGGAGCTGTCAAGTAACTGCTGCTAGCAACTTCAGGAATCACTGCCTCAGCCTCCGACAGCTAAATTCAGCAAATGTATGTTGGCTAGAGAAGCACCCTGACACCTGGGCTGGCAAAGCACACAGTGGCAGGGTGTCCCAAACATTCTTCAATCTGCCCTCACAAAGCTCCAAATTATACAGCAACTCAGACTGGAGCTCAAAGATATAGATACTGTGCTGAGGCCAGGCCAGTCCCAGGAGGGCTGCGTCAAGAACTTTCAACTGCAATCTTTTGAGAGACTTTTCTCTGAAAGGTTGCAGGTAAGTTTTTTCATTTATGGTATACTTTTTTGGAAACTTTTCCTTCTTTTTTTTTTTTTTTAGTTCTTATTGGCAGTACTGGGGTTTGAACTCATGTCCTTAAGCTTTCTAGGCAGGCGCTCTTATCACTTGAGCCATGCCCCCAGTCATTTATGGTATACTTTAGGGTCTCTAGAAGAGGGAAGAAACCGTAGGGCTTCTGGCCTCTAGCTAGCCAGGTACTCTGACCACTTGAGCCATTCCACCAGCCCTGCCTTCTGTCCTCTAGAATAAATTCTAGAAAAGGAAAAAAGGCTTCTGATTTTTATTGCATTCTATTTTTTGGCTTCTGTGCTAAAGGGGAGAGTTCACTGGCGCCCTCTTACTTGGAAAAAGAGATTACTTCCCCTTCTGCTCAAAGTCAGCAAGGCCCACAAACGCCAGGCAGCTGATCTAACACAGCTGCTGCTTTCCCCAGTCCAGGGCGGGTGCTCACTAGTAAGACTCATAAATCCCTTCAGCTTCATTGCTCTCTAATACCTGTGTCATTCTTACCACTTGAGTGATAGGTAAATTTGGTGACCTACTTTTCTAGGAGTATTTGGGGAAAGAAGTGATGAAAATTGAGAATGAAAACGTAATGTGTTCCACTGGGCCACAGCAAATATATTTCAGTATCTCTTTGCTCAGGGTGGGCATCAAAATTTGCCTTTAGTGGACTAAATAAATAAGCTGGTTACCTCACAGGGAATTCCATGACAAATCCCTTCCCACAACCTCAATAATTTCACTGGAATGCCTCCTGGCATTAAAGTGTTTCTAACTAAACCATTGGTTAGGCCCAATTCAGAGCAAGTCCAAAAAATCTGCAAACTGAACAAATGAAACAGAGAATGTTAACATTATGAGGAGGTAATAAAGTGACTTCCTAATGAGTTGACGGGATTCTGTGAGAACTAAGACAGTTACTGATTTATAAAAGCAGTGCTCAAGGATACAACCTACTTCAAACATCACTTGTTGAAGAAGCCCAGTATTTATAGGCCCTCATTCAGATGTCACAGCACACCTGCAAAGAAGAGCCATCTTCCCCATCCTACTCATTAGAAACAGACTGGAGTCAATTAGGGAACTTACTGAAGGAGTGTCAGAGTAGTCGATTTAAACTCAGGTTTGTGAATCCAAAGCCTGTGTTCTGTCACCATTCCACCACCCACTTCTAGAACTTACATGCCTTGGCTCTCTTCTGAAACCTACCCAGCCCTAGCTGTCTTCTCTAAATGTTCCCTTTCACAACAGTCCTTCCAGGTGGTAAAGTGCCAAGCATAAAGCCAAACACAGCTGACTCAACTCTATTCTCTCAAGTCTCACTTTCTAGGTCTGTTTCCCAACCTGAAGCCTTGCTAAAGGCACATGACCTCCTCACAGAATGAACATGGGTTTCAACAGTAGTAAGTTCAGCCACTTTTCTTAGCAGTGTCACCCAAATCACCAGCTAGTGGTCTGGAGTGCCAATGTGTTACTGAAGGAGCAGCTTTAGCAGTAAGAAAGCACACACTTGCCTGGAAAGTTCTCTAAGACCCCGACCCAGGCTAGCAGCACTAGAGGCAGCAGACCACATGCAGTAATCAGCAGTGCCAGGCCAAACTGGGGCTGGTCCCAGCTTACTTACCTGTAGACGACAGCAGGGATGCGCTTCCAGGATCTGAAGCTTGCTACACTTTCTAGCTCTTTGTCAGTGATCCAGGCAGGCACTATGAGCTCTTGTGGATAGCTACCACATAACCTAGTAAGAAAGAGAAGCAGGGGGAAGGAGAGGAGGAGAGGGGGAGAGGAGGAGAGAGAGAGAGAGAGAGAGAGAGAGAGAGAGAGAGAGAGAGAGAGAGAGAGAGAGAGACTGAGACTGATCATGCTATTAGGAAGCCAGTTGAAAGGCAGTGGAGGGAATTACTTGGGTTTTGGTCTCCTCAACAAAATGGGCTGCTGTGCTATATACATCAAGTGGTACTACCTTGAGTCGTTCCACTTGAAGATTCCTTTTGGGATGTGGCAATCTAATTATCAATGAAAACAGAACATGGAGAGTTGTTTACTTACTCTCCACATTAACACTTTTTTAACAAATATAGATTTATCTTTGTTTTAACAATTATATATTTCTAACTACTCAAGTACTCAGTCCAATTACAGAAGCAAAGAGTCTGTGTTGCCTCTACCAGATCTTTAATCTCTCAGGCTTTTATGAAAAAGAAGGACAAAAGGCCACACACGCTTTAGAAACACAACCACACACCAGTCTATGTGCATACACAATCACAGCCTACTGAGCTAAATCAGTAATGTGGACAAGCTATTCATCTAATTTCTATAAAACATACCGCAGACCAAACTGTACTCTGAGGGGGGGCTCTCTTTCTCATGAGGGAAGATGCTACCTGCATGCTAGTCAGCAAGGCGTGGGAGGCTGTACTTCTGGGGAATGTTAATGTATAGGACAATGTCTCTCTATGAGTAACTCAACCTTGGCAATTAGGCCTTCAATCCAAATTCTAAATTATCACAGATTATCACCTCCTCCTCCCCCCCATTCTATGCATTAGAAAGAGAAGCAGAAAACCACCCATTAGCTCAGGAGTTATGGATTTTGAACATTCAAAGTAAATCTCTCTCCTGTTCTAAATTTCCAATTCGATTTAAAAATATTTCAATTTTTCAATTGGGAATTTAAAAGCCATTGAACCAGAAGAATGACTGTAACTGAGAGTCGCTATATGAACTTCCCAATACCTATCTACAAACTCAAAAGTAACCTGGGGCACAGTGACCACAGCTAAGGCTCTAACCCTAGTCTTACTCCTAGCTCTGGCTCTCATTCTTCCTTTATAGGAGGAGGATGTTTCAAAGCCTGAGGACAGATTCTGAAGTGCAACTAGTAAATTCAAAGATAAGAATTTTTTAATTAGGGATTAAAAAAAACAAGTTTGGCTTGACTTAGTTTTTTGACTACCCAACTTTCTGAACACCATGTTTGTTGTTACTACAGTAATCAGAAGTCAGTCCTTCAGTAAGCCTAGCTGCTCACTTTGGGTAGGAAAGGTGGGTTAGTCAGCCAAGCTGCGGTAGCCTCAAGCTCTCTGAGGCGAGGCCCTTCCCTCCTCCACACTCCTTCTTCCTTCTCTGTTTGGATTCGTCTCTGAAAACCTGACTCACAGCACCCAAGTTCCTAACTCCACAGCTAAGGTCCATGTTAAGAGCTGCATATAGCAACGAGCAGCTCTTCCGATGAAAAATTCAACACCATGATGGGTGGCCACAAGTAAGCCAGGAAAATGGCTATCTTTTTTTTTTTTTTGATGGCTATCCTAATTTGAGGCAACTCAAAGAACCAAAGGACTAGTGCTGCAAAGCAACCTGGGAAGTATGTCTTAATTCTCCCAATTTTTGTTTTATGGAAACCTGGATCACCAAAATCACAGTCGATAAGTTCCCCCCTACCAAAGCACTTACATGTTTTAGGAAACAGGTAACAGCTAAATATTTAGTAATGGTTACACTAATATTTAATATTAAGTGATCTTAACAGTGAAGTTGCTTTTAGATCAACATACTAAAGAACAGAGTAATACACCTATTTCATAGGACCTGGAGAAAGCTAGTCATAGAAAGTCGGTCTTAAGTGCTTTGTCACTGCTTACGAGACCCCTGATCCTATCTATCGCTAACGTAATGCCAGGCAGTGATGAGAACAAGCGCAACTGCACCTGCCTGCAGGTAAACACAGGGTCATCTAGACACACCTGTGCCGGGAAGAACAGAGGCCTGGAGGGGACAGAAAGGAACAGTCCAGGATCTTATAAGGATCACTTTCCACCCCAGCAACAGCAAAGGAAACAGAAGGTTGGAAAACCGCCCTAGAGCTTGTGAAATGGCTCAAGTGGTAGAGCACCTGCCTAGCAAGTGTGAGGCCCTGAGTTCAAACCCCAGTACCACCAAAACAAAATAAAAAAAAGTTCTCTAGAAACCACACATAATAAATGAAACTATTTTAAAGGAAAAGACTAAGCTTCAGTGTTCTGCAACATTGAGTCGGGGTATCTGCAAGGGCACTGGCTGTGAAACACAGTCTACAGGGACCCATAAAACTCACTTGTATTTCTCATTGATGTTGGAAATTCTCCAGGCATTGTTCATATCAAAACCCATGCGCTCCACTTCATTCTTAAACCTTGACGTTACATGCTCCCCTAGGGGCCAAGACAGACAAGCACAGAAGGGAAAAAAGAACACCAGTTTACAAAACGGGAATAAAACCAGTTACTTTGCTGTGTTGTGTATGTTTGAAAAGTTTAAAGGCAGGAATTATATAAATAAAATAACATATTTAGTTTTAGTTAAAAAAAAAAAAACTTGGCAGGTTAAGCCCATAAAGAAGAAACTAACTTTAATAAGCAATTCTGTCTCTCATCTACTCTCTACTGTGCTACTGAGGATAGCACCACTGAGCTCACTTTACAGGACACATGGGTTACTTACGGTGACCCACGTTCTTGTCACTCACTACACTGGCTACTCTCCACTTCTACCCTCATACCAGGAGTACACCTGGTATGAGAAATGAAGTCAGTCAGTAAGCAAGATCACTGGAGTAGTAAGGCTGATCTATACTTCCTCATCTGAAACCCTCTGGGTCAGATTTCAGAACTGAGTGTCTTCTAGATTTTAGAAAGGCAAGTTAGTAACATGCATTATACTATTAGATTCACAACTGCAACACAGGCTACTTCATCAAGCATCAGTATTTTCTCAGTGAGATACACGTACAATTCACGACAAGTGGGGCAGCTTCACCTCAGCTCTGATTAGGTCAAGCTACCAAAATACAGTAGGAAAAGAAAAATCTTGAGATTTTTGGAGCCCTTTAAATTGCAGAGTTACAGATTAAGTGGCCAAGCAATCCTAACTGCCAATACCCAGGAAGCCCAGGAAACACTTGACTGTTAAGTAAAGTACTGAGCATCTAAAAGACATCCACCCAAATAGGTATGTGGTTACACTTGCCCTGATGAATTTGGTATTCTCCTCCTTTGTGACAAAGGTAGAGACAAACAAATGAATGCCAGCAGATCTGAGAATGCCAGTAGTTCTATGAAAACAAAAATATTAGCACACCTCTAATGCATACAACCTGATGTTACAGTTTGTAAAACAAACACTGGTGGGGGATGGACAAAACCACCACAACAAATAAAAGCACAAAACAGACTGTTTCGGTGATGGAAGTACAAAGCTTTGCTCCCCTGGGGGAGGAGCTACAGAATGGAAACAACAATTACTGGAATGAAGGACAATTCTATAAAACTACTTCCCATTTAAACTGCTTTTTCATGAGCTTTAGGTAGGTATTACACGCTTCCTAAAAGAGAGTTATAAAAAAATGAGGTTCAGAGATGCAGGAAGAAATAATAGCTGAATCTGTTCCATTTGGGAAAGTTTTAGAAGCAATATAGTAGGATTCCAAATAGGAAAAAAGCTATCTTAATCGGGATGCCATCTGTCTACAGAATGCAAGGAATACTGACCACTAGGAATGTAAACAGGAGTCTTCCACTCAAATCTGAATCTAAAAGCTATAAAACTGGCAGCTTCCAAGCTCATTAATTAAAAAGAAGATATTTCTGATACAGCTCCAAGTTTTTACAAAGGGCAAGGTCTTTTACATTAATATCTCTAAGGATAAGCATACAGATGCCCTAATCTTGTGATTGAAAAACAGCCACTGGCCAAAAAACGAGTACTACAACCACCACAGGAGCAATTCACTACAGAGCCAATACTTTCAGAGCACAAACTTGCGAGCACACAGAGAAACACGGTATTGCAGCCATAGAAAAATCTGCTATTTCAAGTTCCTGGAAAACAATGAGTTTTAATTATCTGTATATCCTCAAAAGCAGTCACTTCACAAACCTTGATCATGACCTACAATAAGAATTCTGTTTTATATCACAACATACATATATTTTTTAAAAGGGTATCACAGAACGATACCCAGTTTACTCTGTGTGTGATGCATTTTGACATTTCCTATTCTAATTCTTTCTTTAAAATGTGATTTCATGATTCATAAATGAATCACAACCTACAGTTTAAAAAAGACTACTTTTAAAAAGCCTAGATACATAAACAATTCCACTTTTGTAAAGACATTTGCTTATGTTCATTTACCCAGAAAAGTGAGCACAAACATATCCACTGTTGGACTCTCCTTAGGAATTTCCATTCTCAGAGCTGGGGGTAGTAGAGCACCTGCCTAGCAAGCATGAGGCCCTGAGTTCAAACTCCAGTCCCACCAAAAAAAAAAAAAAAAAAAAAAAAAAGAATTTCCATCTCAGAATTCCCACATCTCTATCAACCCAGTATCAAGTCATGCTGCAATAGCCCAAGTTACTTATCTGGGATATATCCAGATAAGAATGTAAGAATCAGAGTTAAGTATCTCTGTTTCAACTCTTCCTGTCTGCCTCTTCCACCCCTAAAATGGTGATATGTACCTTAGAACATTTACTATTTCTTATACTGCAATTATACACGGTCCAGTAATTTTCATTTTATTGGAAGTGAAAACTTAAAAAGAAATGTACTCCCTTTATCACAGTTAGTGTCAATCCACAATCTTAAAAAAGAAAAAAAATCCCCCCAAAGTCTAGCTCCCTGGCTGATTCTGAGTATTCAAGACCCACAATGATGCACAGAGGCCTGGCATAGAAGGGACAGTCCCTTACCAGTAGGTGAGGAGCAGCTCAGCACCAGAGTCAAAGAGACAAAACTATCCCTCCCAAGTGGTAGAGTGTCTGCTTAGCAAGAGCAAGCCCCCACCACCACCAAAAAAAAAAAAAAAGTTGGAAAGAGTCGTCCTCTTCTAGGTACCAAGTGTCCCCTAGGTACATGCTTCCTGAACTGCATTCAAACCCAGAAAACAGACAAACCAGCAAGGGCACAGCAAGCAGCGTAACATCCACAGTCACATACCACGTGCGGGTGAACAAGACGTCCTTAATGGTATTTCTGACTGGAGAAGTCAGAGAGGCAGGCATGGTGCCAGTAACCTAACAGCTGACCCCCAGTCATCAGTCAAGACTTCAGACTTAGCACTAGCATGGAGCCATCACCACCAAGCCGGCTACAGTGAGGAGCAGCAATCTGAGGTCAGGGCAGAGAAGCCTGGATCTTTGGGCCCACGGCTTGCTTGAGTTTTTATGAAAGGGATAAAAGCATAGTCAAGAGTTTTGAAAAGAGAAGAGGGTAAAGGACAATGACGAGGGGGCGAGTTCACCTACGATGTATCGTTACAACTTTTATAAATGTCACAATGTACTCCCTGTACAACAATAAAATTATTAAAGTTAAGTTTGGCAAAGACTTTTGCAGGCCCAAGGGAAGCCCTATAGCAATGCTGAGTCTCCTTCCAGCACTGATTAATACCTAGCGCTGTACGCACACCACACACAGTATGGCTGGCTTAACCATGACAGGCTCAGTAGCTAGACACCAAAATTTACATGAATGCCAGCACAATGATGTAATCTCCCCAATTCACTGCTCTCTGATACATCCTGCTCTAAACAAGCTAGGTGGAGAACCCACAAAAGGCTTTATGAACTGCTAGAGACTACACTAACTTCTACTCCTGAGTCTTGGCTTATGATCTCAAGGACTGGGGCAGATGTACAAAGTGGCACTCTGAAGTATCTCATGCCGTCTCGCCCTTCAGATGACTTACAAGAACATGGCTGTCTGGTATGCTTATATATTTTGGTGAGTAATGCAACAGCCATCAACACTCAACTATACTGATGGAGACAGAAGAACCAGGTTGACTGGCTTTAAAAATGCCACCACAGTGATTTAAAAAAAAAAAAAAAATCAAAAGCAAGTTTACTTTCTGTATTCCACAGTAGATACATAAAAGGGAAATGCCATACACACATGCTCAAGTGTGTCACTAAGACACAGTAAGATACCATGTGAGTAGTGTGGACTGAGGTTTGTTTCTTGGGAACAAAATACTCCTGGAGAACTTCCAGTGCCATCAATTCTGATGATACTACCTTGTAGCAGAGTCATTTCTAAAGCGTTCTCAGCAGCACCACACACACTGCACTCTGCAGCATGTACAGGTCTGATCTCCCGAACACGCCATCGGCTTGGGAAGGAAGAGTATGGATGCTCCAGTTTGAAGGACAGAGGAAACTAAAGTGCAGAAAGGTAAGTGGCTTGCCTGCTGTTATTTTCAGTTAAACACCAAAGTAGGGGTTGAATTCAGAGTTCTGAAAACCAAAAATCAGTACTTTACCCCTCCCCCCCTTGTGGCAGGTGCAGGAAAAGACAAAGGACACTGGATATTTCTGTCTTGGTGGCCGAAGAACACCAGGTATCATCGGGAAGTGAAGAGCCTGGCTAGGGATTTAGGTCAGTAGAATACTTTGCCTACCATGTATAAGAACCTGGGTTTGATTTCCAGCACTGGGTGGGAGGAGTGAAGGACTGAGGACCCTCCTCAAGACAGAGCCACTCACAATTTTTTTTTCCTTTTTCTTTTATTGTTCATATGTGCATACAAGGCTTGGGTCATTTCTCCCCCCTGCCCCCACCCCCTCGCTCCCTCCCTCTCCCCCCCCATACCCAGCAGAAACTATTTTGCCCTTATTTCTAATTTTGTTGTAGAGAGAGTATAAGCAATAATAGGAAGGAACAAGGGGTTTTGCTGGTTGAGATAAGGATAGCTATACAGGGCATTGACTCACATTGATTTCCTGTGCGTGGGTGTTACCTTCTAGGTTAATTCTTTTTGATCTCACCTTTTCTCTAGTACCTGGTCCCCTTTTCCTATTGGCCTCAGTTGCTTTAAGGTATCTGCTTTAGTTTCTCTGTGTTGAGGGCAACAAATGTTAGGCTAGTTTTTTAGGTGTCTTACCTATCCTCACCCTCCCTTGTGTGCTCTCGCTTTTATCATGTGCTCAAAGTCCAATCTCCTTGTGTTTGCCCTTGATCTAATGTCCACATATGAGGGAGAACATACGATTTTTGGTTTTTTGGGCCAGGCTAACCTCACTCAGAATGATGTTCTCCAATTCCATCCATTTACCAGCGAATGATAACATTTCGTTCTTCTTCATGGCTGCATAAAATCCCATTGTGTATAGATACCACATTTTCTTAATCCATTCGTCAGTGGTGGGGCATCTTGGCTGTTTCCATAACTTGGCTATTGTGAATAGTGCCGCAATGAACATGGGTGTGCAGGTGCCTCTGGAGTAACAGTCTTTTGGGTATATCCCCAGGAGCCACTCACAATTTACAAAGTGAGGCTCTCACGTGGCATATGTTAGGAATAGCCTAAGTGTTGACTCAAATCCAAGAGAAACAACGAAAATTATCAAGGGGATAAGAAAGCCTGTGATTTTGACAGAGAGTAAACCTCGTTGATTAAATGCTAGCTACCTTAAATCAGAAAATGCCTCTTAGTGTTAGGGATCTTAAGCAAATTATTTTTTTTTTGGCAGAACTAGGGATTGAACTCGGGGCTTTGCACTTGCTAGACAAGCACTCTACCACTTGAGCCACACTCCCAGCCCTTTCTACTTGAGTTTGGTTTTGATAGGATCTTGCTCTTCTGCCCGGGCTGGCTTCAAACTGAGATCCTCCTACCTCTACCTCCCAAGTAGCTGGGATTGCAGATGTGTACCATCAGGCCTGGCTTGTTTTTTGTGAGATAAGAGTCTACCACCTTTGCCCAGGCTGGCTTCGAACAGAAAATTTTCTACCACCATCTCCTGAGTAGCTGGGATAACAAGCTTGTACCAGCACGCACCACATCACATCAGGTCTCACATAACATGATGCACAACAGATGCACTCCTTAAATTCATTATTCTAGGAGATGGTAGAGACTAAGAATTTAATAGGATGCAGTGCTTAAAAACTCTAATATACAGTAACATTTATGCACTTGTCTGTAAACTTAACCATTAAAAAAACGTGGAAGAGTTACAAACCAAAGAACAAAAATGTGAAACATGGCATTTGGGTAAAAGATGAAACAAGGAAAGAGAGATAAGGGTAAAGTGAGAGACTAAGTGCCTCCGTATGAACGTCCCAGGTTGACGGGGCCTCTGGAAGATTGGCCAGGAGGGCTTGGGAGAACGTGAACTTCTGAGGCTTTTTATGAGGCTCCAAAAGGACAGTGCCTCTGCTTTTCAAGCTCTGTGTCCACAGGACCTGGAACAGTTAGCTCTCAATAACTGAGAACCGGTTTCAAGTTCTACCTCGCTCACTGACTGCCAGCAGGACTGAGGCTTTATCTCTAAGCCTTCTTTTCTCTTTGAGGCTCCATACCTTTGGCTCCTGAAAGAGACACCAAGCTATCCTGTTTGACAAGGTCATGAGGATCAAACAAAACTATGTGTCATAGTAAGGTACATATCAAAGCATGTTTTGAAATGAGATAATGCTTCTGTTTGTTATAAGCATTTTAATTAAACAGAACAAGAATGTGAACCTAAAGCTTTAATCAGTGATAGGCCAGAGAACAAAATGATATAAACAGAGCTAGATTAGTCTCAATGTTTAAAATGACATAGGTCATACTTTTAAGACTGAAGACTCAAGATTAAAATTTCAGGCTTTAAAGAAAAACATTCCCAAAGTAAATTTTACTTGAGAGAGGCTCACAACTTTTCACTGCTTAGAAATTCAAGACTTTGCTTCTAAGCCCGACATCCTGTAGAGTCAGTATTGAACCAGCAAAGTTCTATTTATGACAGCGCACAGTCTGCAGAAAACTACAGGCACAGAAATAAGACGACCTTGGTCAAAGTCATCTCAGAGGGAAAAGACTACATGAGACAGGAGCCTAGGCTCCAGTACAGGATCAGTGTCTCTGTATTTGTCCTTGGGGAAGACGCTTGGTCTCTCTGAATCTGCTTCCCCATCTATGGAATTAAGAGGGAATTAGTTGGTAGTCTATTACTTGAAAATGCTATGATAGTAAAAGGTCATTTTGTATCCCATCGTTCCCTATTTTCACACTTGTGGAACTCTGCTCACCCTATTGGCTATCTTATGTTCTTTACTCTATTCTTTAATCAATCAATAAACTACTCTTATTCAATCTTCAGTATCTTCTCAAAAGCCACTTTAGCATGAATTCCTCCCAAACATGTATGCAAAACATGTTTTCATGGCTTCCTTTCATTAGGGCTCTAGAATATCCACAAACCCTGTTGAGAGTTGTTCAGAAGCAGAAATGTGTTGTCACATCTAGAAACATGCCTGTTAGGCTTAGGTGTTCCACAAAATATACTCTAAACACATAAGCACATCCCAGTTCATGTTAAAGGCGCCTCCAGCACAGCTTGGCAAGGCCTTGAGCATTTGCAGATTCAGAAAGGCTTACCTGGTCTGCACAAGTCCCCATGTTGCTCTTTTTCACTGGCGTAGACCTCCATGCACCAAGCATGGTATGCAAATGAGAAGAGGTCTTCTATTTTAGCAGGTGGTCGGATTGCACTGTTTAATCTCTTAAGCCACTCTTGACACTGCTCAAAGGTTGAGAACTGACACCTTTTGGCAAAGCCAAACAAGTATGAATATAATCAGATGACAGCTGGTTATGAAATCTAAGAAAAGCCACCACTTCACAGTGCCTATACATAGCAAGGTGTCAACTCCCATGGAGAAAAGCAAGAGGTAGTCATTCATACATTCACTATTGTTTATAATAAAAACAGGTCCAACAAATTTTAGCCAGTGGTGAAAATGTAAGAAAGGTGGACATTTGGAAAATCTATTCTTTTACTCTAATAAAACAAATCTCTTCTGAAATTGATTAATGACTATTATTAAAGTAAAACAGCAGTTACTCTCTCATGAATGAGGTTTCACTCTACTTTAATCATTTTATGGTTGTCCCTTTACCGAAATGTTTTTAGAAATGCCCTAAAAAAATAAACTGCAACACCACTTTTAGCCAGTTAGGGAATAATTTTTAAATTTGCCTATTTAGCAATTAGGACAAATCAGCACCAAAATAAGACAGCATACACTGAAACTTTCAGCTGTGACCACACAGACAACAATCCTATTACCAACAGCAATCTTCAGTATATTAAGTGGTTATTTCTCCTGTGAAGCCTCAGTGCACAGTGATTTTTTGAGGATTTAAGTACTTCTGAGTTTCTGAATGCAAAGGTACCGGCTAAGAAATAGGAAAGCTTTTAAAACTGTAAATGGCAGCCAGTATCTATCAGAAGTGAGCCAACTAAAACCTCCTAAAAAGCAACTTAAATATTCGCCTTAAAACTAAGGAAGTCACTCAGAGCTCTCCCAGTCCCAATCCATGGGACTCAAACACATTATGTTTACTGGCAGCCTCAGCAAGTCAAAGGAATAAAGCACAGTTTGAGGAATAAAAATCTGTGGAGTACTAAATTTAAAGACACGTGGAGGCATCATTTTACAACAATTACAGTTCAAACTTAGACCAGATACAAATCATTACAGGATGCCAAGTCTATGGAGAAATTCTGAGGAGGCATTTGCATTTCCTCAAGTGCCTCCCATGAACTGTTTAATAGTTGCAAGGAAGAAAACACAGAAATTGTACAGAAATCAGGTGACACCTCAACTACAGTAATCCAAAATCCCCACACAGGGACAAGTGGATTGTAATCCACACAGCACTGTGAAAACAGTAACATGGACACAGTAATCCAGCTGAAAATGCGTAATTCCAATTTAATCTTGACAAACACAAAATGAAAAACATTCTATTAAAAACAAAAGACAGTGTTCTTCAAAACGTAAATGTCATAAAAGACAAAGAAAGGCTGTGAAAAATGTTCCAGATTAAAGAAAGCTACAGAGTTATATCAGCTAAATGTATAGACTGGACCCTGTAGCTGAATGAGGGAGTGGGACAGAATGGCATTATTAAGTCAAATAACGAAACTGGAACAGGGATAGGTGACTGGATAAAAGTAGTCTCAATGTAAAATTGCAAAGGTGATAATGATGCATAGTTATATAAGAAAACATTCCTGTTCTTAGGAACGCACACAAAAGTATTTTGGTGTTAAAGAGGCTACACTTATATAACTTACTTTTATTGTTCAGTCTCTCTCTCTCTCTCTCTCTCTCACACACACACACACACACACACACACACACACACACACACACAGAGAAAGGCTTTCTAAATGATAAAGTAAACTGAGACAGAGTGTTAACAAGTGAACCTGGGGTAAGTGGTGTACTGGTGTACTTTTTTTTTTTTTTTTTTTGGTAATTTGAAATTACTTCCACATAAAAGTAAAAAGCATGTGTCAGGATAGCAACACACCCTACAGGTAACTACTCCAGGCGTTACCACTCAGAAAACACTCCTAACAAGGTTAACCTAAAAAGGTATTTTGATAAGTTAACAAACCATGTATCCAGTCTTTACTTTCTTGCAGTGCTAGGGATTCAACCTAGGGCCTTGTGCGTGCTAAGTCAGCACTCTATCACTGAGCTATATATCCCCAGCCCAGTATTACTCTTAAATATCTTCTATACTAACCACCTGCACAGACTCAGCACGTACCTGATAACCTTGCAGTCTTTGCAGGTCAAGTGGAGCTGAAATATATCTCGGCATTCGACGCTTTCAATGAGCTGTAACGGAACCTGCAATTAAAAAAGATGAAGTCCTCTTAGTCAGAAAGGCCTTGCCGGTGCAGCTCTTCCATGTGCCCAAAAGACTGACTAGAAAGATACACGGGGGAAGGCAGCACACAAAACTGCATATTTAGTCAGATCAACAGTACTCACGTGATTTATGAAAGCATGAATCAGGGCTTGCCCTTCCCTAAATCAACGGCCTTAAGTCACAGCATGAAGATGACAAATCAGAGGCAGCACCTCTGGAACAGCATCCAACTCACAAGCTCATCTCTCAGAGTACTACAGTAAGATGTCACAGCTGGCTATGATTTACATGACACAGAAGCTGAAGGGTACTAGAATGCCAATCCTGTCTTCTTACAGAAAAGAACTACAGATCAGATAGGACCTTGAGTTTGTTTTGGCTTTTTTGGCCTGGCCTTAAGACTGATCTTCCTACCTACACCTCCTCATAGTTGGGATGACAGGCATGTTATCACCATGCTCACTTTTTGTTGAGAAGGGTAAGAGCTATTCATCAGAGTGTAAATGGGACTTTTTCTGTTGGCTGCCCCAAAGGACAGAGTGGGCTTATGGCCAGTTAAGTGTCAGCAAAAGACACTCCTGAAAAGTGCCAGTGGTCTAAACTGTCTGCCAGGTTGCAAAGAAAAGGTTACTGGGACAGACTCTCTATTCAGAACAGAGCAACAGGTATTGAGAGGAAGGGAGGTCACACAGCAGTCAAAGAACCTAAAACTTGCTATGTCCAGCTTGATTTAAAAGACCAATTGAAGAACCCCATTTGCCAAGTTGGGCTTGAGGTCTGAACAGATGCAACAGCCCCTGCCAAGTGGTCGGAGACAGACCCTACGAACACAGGAACCAGAGAAGGGAAAGCATCTGAACAGGCTGCAAATCCTCAGAGTGACACAGGATCCTCTCCCTGTCCTTGAAATTATCCTGATCTCTGGCTTCAAAGGGCAATTTCCAAACCTTCAGAAGACAGCCTGGTAAATTAGTAGTGGATATACCCTTATTCCTTGGAAAAGCGGTCAACGGCTTGTCTCCTGTACTACATTAAGCCCGCCAAAACATAGCCCTGTGAGTTGCAAGTAGCCTTCCAATTCCAACAACTCATGTTTAGCATGAGAAGAGGGAAGCAGAGCAAACAGAAACAAGAGTGCTGCCTGCACAGGGTGGCCTTGTGTCAGCTTAGCCAGTTTCAGAACAGGCTTCCTGCAAACTCTCTGCCCCAATCACGCAGCTGCCAGAGTTAGCAGAGAACTCTCAGAACAGGGATGCAGGATCAAAAAGAAGCCCAGTGCTGAAAGTCTGAAACAAAGAAACAGAAACTGGGACACAGAGAAAAGAAAAGCAAGCACAAAAATATTACTTAGATAAAGTGGCTAAGAGTTTTTAACCTCAGGGCTAAAGCCTTCTTGCTTCTAAGTCTATAATCTATAAAAATTCCTTTACAATTGTAACAGGACTAGGAGTAAGAGAAAGACTACGAAATCTTCTCTGTATCCTCAGGAAAAAAATCAGTCTTGGGCCCTCTGTTTTTGTTTAAGTCCTTAACCCAAAGGTGCTATGAGACACTGTAGGTGATGCAAATAAGAGTTCTTTCAAGAGCCTGTACACTTAAGGAGGAAAAAAAGATCAGTAGAGATAAATCATAAAGGAGACAGAAGACACTGATTTGTCCTCACGCTAGTTCTCTGGGTGCCCTGAGATAGCCTCTCATTGCTTTCTTATTTTTAATGTACTACTAACCCTCTTATTCCTCTACCCCTTAAAAGCGGATGCCAGAGTGGCAACTGAGAAGCCTAAGTTCTAGTCTGACTTTTCTAAAATTTTACCAATAAAAATCTTGCCTGTTTCCTGTCTTCCTTGGGAGCCTCTGGCCTTCCTATAAGCCAGCAACCTGTGCTTTCTGAAGCTCAGATGGTGACAATTTACCAAGTCTGATGTTCAGGGGCTGGAGTGAAATGGGGGTGAGCTCTTCCAGCAGCCATCTGCATTCCAGGTCCCCTTTGACTGCCTTTCCTTGCAGCTAGAAAGGTAAACCCACTAATGCTATCAGCAGCTGTGGGTCAGAGGCTGGAGTGAACAGATGAGCCTGTGCTGCCTTGCTACAAAGAGAAGTCTAACGTCCCACTTACTGGACCGGAGCCCAAGGACCTGTGCCAGAACTCCAGAATAGAACACTCCAGAGCATGCAAACTTTCTGCTACCTAAAATGCGTTCGATATACAAACTTCAACATATTTTAACCTTTATTCTTAAGGAAGAAAAAAAGTTGGCTCTTACATTCAAATCAGATTGGACATGCTAGATATAAGTGAGTGCTCAAGTCACATATGGAGAACAGCAGGTTCTGATACTCATGCAGACTGTCACATGCAGGAGAGCTGAATGCGTAACAAAAATAAGGGCGTATCAGAGAAACACTTGATCTTGTACCAACCAACTATCTCCCTTCTGCTTCTCCTTTCTATCCAAGTGCCATCCTTCAGCGCTCCCTACACATGGCCATCTCTTCCTCCTACATAGGCAGAGCTGGCTGGCTTTCTGGTTTCTCTACTATAAGGCCTACCCCACTGCTCTAGCTTCCTCAACTTTCCTCACTTAGAGGAGGACCTCTTATCACTTCTACACAGAATTAAAGATTCAAGAGCCAGTCCATGTTCTAGCCCAGGAAGTTAAGCCACTTCTCTATAAGCAGCAAGAAGCTGTATATATCTGCCATCTAGCCTGGGCTCCTTCCACCGTATATGGTCTGCCTTTCTTCTATGATTGCCCTTCTCTTCTGTGTGAGCTACACTTTAGTTTTCTTTCACAAATAAGCAGCCCTCCACCAGGGATCTTCGAGAGAGAAAAACAGAATTTAAACCAAGATTCCTCAGAGGCAATTTCATCACAGAAGAATAGTAGGCAATCTAAAAATCACTTTGTTTTTCAGCACTGGAGTCTCAAGTCAGGGCCTCACGCTTGCTAGGCAGGCACTCTTCCAACTTGAGCCATACCCACAAACCCTAAAATCATTTTCAAATCTTCTGCAACCCACTGACTCAATGTCTCATAGCAACTCACTTTCTTTTTTCTTTTCCATCTTCTCTGCCAGGTTTCAACCTCTCCCCTCCACCCCCCGCCCTTCACCTTTTCTTTCTTTCTTGGGTGGAACAAGGGTTAGAACTCAGGTCCTCACACGTGGTAAGCAGGCACTCTACTAAAGCCAGGCCTCCAGCCCCCAATTCTCTCTCTTTAAAGTGCTTTCTTTTCCTATTACACACCTCACCAAATTCACGCGCAAACAACACATCAAACACACTCAGTGCTGTTAACCACATCTTCAAAAGGCCAAAATTGTATCATGAACATCAAAATCTGTAAGAGCATCAGTCCAAAAAAGCAGAAGAGCAGCCGTTTAAAAATGGGACATGCATAGGTGCCAAAGATCCACAGTGCTGTCACACTCAGAGAACCTGAAGGTCATCATCATACTCTACCTGTCAATTCATTCTGGGAGGGTGCATGTGCATTATTTTTAAGCACCAGAATTTAGAAGTGAGAGAATTTCCACCTTTTTAAAACTACTCTTTTTAGAGCCTGAATGGAAGTACAAATCTTGTATACACATCTGAAGTACTAATGGACTACAGTGAAAATAAAGCCAGAATAAAGTTTAAAAGGAAAATCTGTAAAAACAGAACAAAAACCCTGGAATATTTAGGTGCTAAGTCTTCTCATTTAAAGACCAGAGTGGGAAGACTATCACGGATTTAAGAGCAACACTCTGTTCCTCGGATTATGTACAGCATCTCTCTAGACTGGTTTCAGAGGACTCCACTGGTACATGAATGCTGGGCCAAAAGGCATTAGGTGTTAACAAAACCTTCTGGCACATGGGGAGTGAAAGTGGTTGTCAGGCACAGAAAAAGTGTGAAGAAATGCAGCGGAAGATGTTCCCAGTTGCTATACTTTTTCCTAACAGACACTGACAGATTGGCTTAGAAACAGAAGGAGTGTTTATTTGGCAATACTGGGGTTTGAACTTGGGCTTCACACTCAATAGCCAAGCATTCTAGCCATGCCTCCAGCCCTTTCTGCTGTGGTTATTTTGGAGATAGAGTCTTGCTTTTTGTGCAGGCCAGCCTGGACCACCATCCTTTTTTTATGCTTTTATGTAGGTGAGATGACACGCGCCATTATACCCAGTTTTTCTCCTTTGAGATGAGGGTCTCTCAAGGTTTTTTTGCACAGGCTGGCCTGGAGCCATGATCTACCCGATCCTACATAGCTCACGACGACAGGTGCACACCACTGCGCCCAGTTATTGTTTGAGATGGGGGTTTCTTGAACTATTTGCCTGGACTGGCTTTGAATCATAATCCTCCCAAACTCAGCCTCCTAAGTAGCTAGGATTACAGGCCTCCGCAAAACAGAAGTTTTAATGTCTTTCTGAATGCTAATGTTAATTTTTTTATAAACTATTTCTGCTAAATATCTGCTAAATGTCTACGTTTTTTGAAAGTCATAATTCCATCACTTTTGTATAAACTGGGGTTTTATTCTCATCCACAAATTGTTTTCACGACAGCACTCTAATACAACCTCGGGAAGAGGGAAGGGACTCATGCAGAAAGGACACATTTTGCCGAATTGCAAGGGGAACAGCTAACACTCAAAACCAACTTGTTGCAAGCACAGGTGCAGCAACCACCTAGGACTCTCGTGCTACTCACTGGGATTTCAGCAGCAGAAGATTGAGAAGCAGTCTATTGAACCACACAACAAAAATCGTTTTAAACTTCCGTACATCCCACTTGAACACTTGTTATAATTTATCTAAGCTTCAAAGAAATATACCTACACATATGTAAATATATGTTTATATCAAACAACAGGAACAATTCATATCTTAAATGCTATAAATGAACTCTAGTACAGAGGTTCTCCATGGTAAAAATTGGAAACTTGATAGGCAGTGAATATGTGTAGATTAAAGTAATGATGTCTGTAGTATCAACGTGTACAGACACATTTTACTCAATGTGCTGTGAAATTAAAACAGAATATATGATATCAGGTAGCTATTTAAAACTTGATGGCAAGTCATTTTCTAAAGTGCCAAATAATGCAAGGTGGGGAAAGTCACAACAGAGATGGCACACTGGGTTCTGGTGGTCTAAATGGGTTTGATTTAGACCTAATCACCTCTAACAGGACCTCTGGATTGCCCAACTCTGCTGAAATACTTATCTGCTGAGGAAAGAAAAGGGGAGGAAGAGGAGAGGCACCACCTCCACCACCTCTGAGCTCCAGGAGATTGGGAGGAGCCATTAGCTCCTGAAGTAACCTGAGGTGTCCACAGCCTTAGCGCTAAGTGTGATGAGAGTGATGTACTGTATGCAGCAATGCTAGTGCGTCTCAGAAGAAATGGTCACAGTCCCTGCAATGCAGCATATTTTGCATAGTCATTTTTCTATGGGCTTCTTAAATGACACGCAGGCTCTAAGCCTTAGAGGGTTACAATGCTAGAGAAGACACTTTTATGTGAGGAAATGGGTCGAAAACAAGAGCAGCAGTCCTAAGCATTAAACCTCAATTTCCTTAAGCATGACACCTCAACTATGCTAGAGGACCAACAATTACACTAAACAACCTACTCATACAGCCACAGTAAGGGACAAATGACAGCACTGGCCTATTCACAAAGAAACAATCATTTTTAAGTGAACTCCAAATTCAAAAGGGGTAAATGGTCTAATACCCATTTCAATGCCATAGTAGCTTCAATTTACTTAGTATCTACTGCTAGCATGACCCAGGAGACACACTAGATCCTGAACTTACAAAGGCAGATAAACAAAATTACAACATGTCTAGCAAATGTTGTTAAAGTATGTTCAAGACACAAAAGAAGCCCAGTGAATGTAATTTACTGGCAAGGGGGGAACTAGGGCTGAGCAAGGTTCACAGAGGGAGCTATCACTCGAACTGAGTTTTGATGATGAAGAGAAGTTCCCTGGGCAGGAAAGATGGGAGAAGATGTGAAGTGTGAGGTGCAGCTGAACAGTCCAGGGAGGCTGGTTTTACTAGTGCAAAAGGGGACATGGGAGGAAAGACAAGCAGAGAGAAAAGCTGGCACGGACAGGAACACAGCCTCTTACCATACTAAATAATTTGATCTTCATCTTAGAAGTAACAAACACTGAAGAGCTTCAAGATTCTCTCCAATGGTCCCTATTCCCAAACAGATCTAAAAATAGCTAATGAAATACTTAGCCAAAAACCAGAAAGCTAATAAACAGGGGATATATGAGAAAATGCAACCATATGAAACTTCACCATTCTCATATACAATCTAATTACAACTTCATTGATTGCAGCTATTTAAACACCGAAAGGGCACAAAATTAAATTTTACTAATCATTTACTTCCACAGTTAGGGTGGGGAGTTTTTGATTGCTGGGATTTTCTTTCCCCTCCTGTCATGACCACTCAAATCCAATGGACCCTTCTGAACAGAGTGCTCTATAGTGTGAAAGAAAGCCCAGCATAACCTCGTTCCTCAATGATTCAGCTGTGTCGTGTTAGCTAATGGCCAGAAAACAGACATAATAGCTATGATCATACCCCAAATCTAAATGCCAGAAAGAAATCAGGCCAAATTGGCTCCTGGACACAAACGCTCAACTCCAAAGAATAAATGATAAATGCCAACTACAAGGAAAATGGCAGCCGCTGACCCTTATCGTAAATGAAAGAATGTGCCCCGAGGAGTTCGGTGTCTTTTGACCAGAGTAAAATGAATGAAGTGACAGATTTCAAAGAGTCCCAAAATGAACCTCAAATCATGTATTCTGAATAAAGATGTAATCCTGAGCTCTTACAAGGTGCCATTCCACCCTGTGCTAGCACTCAAGTATGAAAGCCGCAACACTGGCAAGCGAAGAAGGAAGAAGGCATTCAATTGGTCTGAGCAAGGGTGTCTGGCCTTTTGTGGCATTTGCTTTGACTGCGAGGACCCTCATGATTGAAGGTGAGAACTGAGGCCCTCCTCTTCCTCAATGATAGCTAGCCCATTATGCAAATGAACACCATGCTTCACACTGCACCTGTGCCACTCAGGAGCCATTAGAGTAACTTTATCCTATAATGAGAGTCTGCAGTGAGCTCTAAGAACACCTTGTCATTTGACGTTAAGGCCCAGGAAATTACCTCAACTGAAGCAGCTGTAACTACTAAAGATCGAGGAGAACAGAGCCTGTTCAGCCTTTGTCCCAAAACAAAGCTCATCGGTCAGATAATTCAGGGTTACCTGAACAATGCACCCCTCAGCTGAAAACCACACAAATCCTTTCAAATACAGCCAGGAGTTCCTTACTCATGCCCCCAGAGTGTGAAACGGAAAAGCAGAACACACGCTTTCACACTGATCCTGTAGAACTAGTCTCTTTGGGAGCATTATCAAGTTTTCAACTTCCTGTCTACCTTGTAGGGAGAACAGGAGGTTATGACTTACATTGACAAGAGACTCCTTGAACTTGATGTGAAGTCTGTAGTTAGAAAGGGCAATGACGGCGTCCTCAGCACGGCCGACATACTCTGTGCTCTCTCCATGGAGTTCAAAGAAAGGAACCTTAAAAACAAGGAGAAGGAAGCTGTCAGAGCTCTGAGGCCGCTGAACCCGGTCTCCAAAGGTGGCTCAGGTGAGGCATAAGCGACAAGTCCTCTCACCCAAGTGTAGTGTCCAGTAAAGAGCCTAAAGACACACCTAGCTCAAATACAAATTAAGGATTACTAAATCCAAATTAAGGATTAAATTATTATTTAATTATCCTTAATTTATTATTAAGGATAAATTATTATTAAATCCAAATTAAGGATTACTAAAAGAACAACAAGATGGTCATTTCAAACAACGAATGCTCAAGAAATAAGCCTTACTAAAATGAGAGTGTTTCACAGCTGGCATTTGCACAATATGGTTAAGTAACACACATACAGAGCGCATTACTTCAGTACAGGAACTCTGTGTCACTATGATACTAAATACCTACTGTATGATCCAGAGTGGCCCGCAATTACCTGAAGACTCTCATCCTCCCGAATCAGCTGCTTTCTAGGAAAGATCTGATTGGCCTGGATGCACTCAAGGCTGTGCCGAGTCTCTTCATCCTGGAAAAACCAAAAATCTTAACATTTCAAAGCTTCTTGTCATCCATACTCAGTTTTTCTACCATGTCTACTTAGAATCATAGTAAGAGTCCAATTGACTGCCTTCAAGCAGGCAGAAAAGTTCGAGGTTGAAAAACACTCATCCCAAGAAGTGTTCCATCTAGTACACTAGGTGCTGTGGTGTTTTGTATAAGAGATGCCCACCCCCGCCAAAGGCCCATGTGTTCAAGGCTTGGCAGCCACCTGCAGCACTATTAGGAGAGGTGCGATCTTTATGGCTATAGTGGGAAGCCGGGCTAATGGCAGCATGTGGGGGAAGAGGTGGTAACTGGAACTCCAGTCCTTCATTTGTCTCCTGGCTACCATGAGATGAGGGTTTTCTCCACTATGTCGCCACAGGCACTTGCCCCATGCCATGAGCCAACTGACAGACTGAAACCTCCAAAACCATGAGCCCAGATAAATGTCTCCTTCCTTTTAAATTCACTTAATCCCAGGAGCAGAAAGCTAACTAGCACAGGTGCCTCTAATCTGAAAATACACAGATGCAAAAAATAACAAAAATGTCAAATATTGTACCATTTCTGTTAGGCACCAAGACAGGTCAATACTTTTAATGTAACAGAATACAAACTGAAAGACAGCTTCAGATTCAACACTGCAACCAATCTTTAAGGAGCTGCCACCTGTCAAGTTCTGGTATAATATTACTAAAGGAAAAATACACACAATTATCTAGAAAAACTACCTCTGTGAGGCTGGATTTTTTTCATATATTTGCAATAATATTTGTTACATGCTGTAACAGACTGAAGGCAAAAGATAAGAGAATATACCCATCATCTATTAAACCAAGCATTAACGACATTTGCAAAAATGTAAACCAGCTAGGCACCAAAGGCACATGCCTGTAATCCCAGCTACTCAGAAGGCACAGATCAGGAGGATCAGTTTGAAGCCATCCTGGGCAACTGTTCCGGAGACCGTATCTCAAAAATACTCAATGAAAAGAGGGCTAGCAGAATGACTCAAATGGTAGAGTGCCTGTCTATAGGTGTGAGGCCCTAAGTTCAAACTCCAATACTACTCCCCAAAAAAGAAAAATGTCAACCATTCTTTACACAAATACCATTCTTCATACCAATTGTTTTGGATGAGAAAAGTTATTTTTCATTGAAAATGCTATTTAATAACACTTATGAAAATGTTATTTATGTAATCGGTCTGTTATTGCTATTTCTCAATGAACTTATGAACATTTTAAAAACTTCTCGGCTTTCATTTCTAACACAGTAACTATAGGTTAACATAACCCACAACAACCCTTCTTGGAGCGCCCTAACTTAGAATGTACAGAGAGGTCCTGGGACCACAAGGCTTCAGAACTGCTGCTCTATACTATAATCCTAAATAGATGTTAAACCAATCTCCCATGGCTACTCTATGACAAGAAAAGCCATCCAGCCCTGAACAGCCACCACCTCAGTTCACCACTCCAGCAGCTTTGCTACTGGTTTTCTGCTTCCACACCTGGTCTTTCACAGGCCTGTTTTATCTTAAGTCCCAAGCTTTTAAAAGACTCACTTCAACTTTGGTATTTAACATTTAGAAACACACGGCTTCAAATTATAAAAATAAAACTTTAACTCTTTTATAAATGGTTCATGAAATACTATGCAAATTATCATGAAATTTCTGTCATTAAATGTAGACTTTTCCACCAGGATTGCTATGCATTCACCATGATTGTTAAATTGTAGCTGAGAATCAAGTAATTTTAAAAATCAAAATTATATAAATGTTTTCAGTCTCTTAAATAGCCAAAATGCATAATAAATGTTGGTGGATTTAGTAACTAAGGTGGGTATCATACAGCTTGGGCCTCTGAAAGTGTACTTGCCCAGACTGTACAAAGACCTACAAATGGTCCCACTCCTATACACTCCAGAACAACTTGCTAGATAAAAAGTTATGGGTTCATCTGTACCATTTTATCTTTTTCCACTCATGTGATCTGAGGTCAAGGAAGGAGTGAAGAAATAATAAGTAGCAGTCGTTTTTGAAAGGAATCCACTTTTCTATTATCATAAGTGCTAGCTTTTTTTTTATCCTATTTTCATTCTTAAAAGGCAGCTTTTGATCTACTGAACATTGAGTATTAATATTTAAAACTAAATAGAGGTGGGTGTTGTGGCTAATACCTATAATCCCAGCTACTTTGGAAGCAGAGATTGGGAGGATCATGATGTGAGGCTAGCAAGGGGAAACAGTATAATGACCTCCATCTCAACAAGCAAGCCAGGTATGGTAGCACATGCCTGTAATCCCAGCTACACAGGAGGTATAGGTAGGAGGACTGATTTTTTTTTTGTTTTAAATCTTTATTAAGGTAAATCATTTAAACATACTCAAAAGATCTTGATCTCATTAGAGACTGTATAAAGAAATGCCTTTATGAGTTTTTCAGTAAGGTAGGAGGATTGTGATCTAAGGCCAATCTGGGCAAAATGCAAGCCCCTACCTAAAAAAATACCTAAAGCAAGAAGAGCTGGGTCAAGACTCAAGTGGTAAGAGTTCAAACTCTGATTTCAAACCCCAGCACCACTTGACAAACAAAAAGCAAACTAAAGAGCAAAGACAGGAAGACCCTTGACTTTAGAGAAGTTTCTCATGAACCAATCAGGAGCAGGCAGGAAGTGCGGTGACACATGGGGGCTGGGCTTTTAACCATCTTACATAAAAGTGCACTTTACACAATACTTCTCAGCACAATACTTTTTAACCTGCTTTTCAGATCACATAATTTTTAAGACCTAACCTTTACTATCATTAATATCATTTTATAGAGGGGCTCGTTATTTAAGTGATTTCCTGATACAGTTTTCTGCTGACACTTTAATAGCTCAGAAGTGAACTAACAAGCTCACTTGTTAGAATCAGGGAGGGAAGGAGAAAGATGGAGGACAGAGGAAAGAGCAGAGCAGGAAGGGAGCAGGGACCAGCTGACCACTGACCTCATCACTGTGACCAGCACACTCACTGGGGTCTAATGCAGACCCCTGTGTGGAACAAATGTCCTACTGAAAACTCAAAATGGAAAGAATGGTTTGCGTTCCATTTCAGCTAAGAATTAGGCCAGGCAGACAAGAGCAGTACTTGCTTTTTCACAGCCACATCAAGGAAATGCTCTTTTCAAAAGATATTGCTTCAGTTAGCTTTAATTATAAGGCTTCAGAAAAAAAAAAACTCATGCACAAAAATGCATTTCATTCCCAAGACATTAACATTAGGACTGACTACGCACTGATCGTTCTAGAAGAAGGGTGATAAGAAAGACATTATATGGCAAAAGTCTGGCAGCTGAATTAACTCTCTAAATTTACTATGATTTCTATACAGGCTTTGCAGGTGAGAATGGTACCGCTGACGGGATGTGGACGGGAGACGGGTGTGGACGGGAGAGAGCAGCAAGCCAGGAGAGAGTGACGTGGGGAAGCCTGCAAACCACTTTCTCCTCAGCTAGAAGTAATTTATTAGCGAGAGAGAATGCCTCCCGCTGTCGCTGCCTACTGCTACTGAGGACTACGGACACTGTAGGACCTGGCACTTCTCTACCCACTCAACCACAGTTCCAAGCTATTCTCTGCTGCTAGCTAAGCCCTGCAGGTAAGAGAGTTAAGTAGGTATTTGCAGAGAAATCACCACTAGAAATAACCAAGGGGAGAAGAGATTGCTGACCAGTCAGTTAGCCCTGCTAACTGAACGTACATCTAGTGTTCATGTTCACAAATGTAAAAGTGAAATCAATCACCAGTCTAGTGTCAATTCCACTCGTTTTATTTGCGAGGGAGGTGCAGGTATGGGGGGCTTCATGCTTACAAACCAGGCACTCTCCCGCTTGAGCCACACCTCAGTCCATTTTGTCTGGTTATTTTGGAGATGAGGTCTTGTGAACTATTTGCTTAGGCTGGCCTCAAACCTTGATCCTTCTGATCTCAGCCTCCCAAGTAGCTGGGATTACAGTTGTGAGCACCAGCACCCAGCTTCTATTTGTAAGATTGGTATTGAAAGCCATCAAAAATGTATTTTCCTTGATATAATTTTTGGACTGTGTATCAAAATAATCCAAAGGGGTAGAAAGAAGAGATCAGACAAAACAAGAGTAGCCATGAGCCGCTGATTCTTGTAGCAGGATGCTGTGAAAGTTCACTGCACTTTTCTCTCCTTGCATAGGCTTGAGATTTCCAGAATATAATAGGAAAACATTTTCCTCACACCTAACCTCCCAAAGATAGACATGAATGTCATTTAAGATCTTTTAAGAGTAGAAGAGACAGGACTGGGTGTTCCTCTCAATCAGTACAAAGGGGTATATTAAAAACAAAAGTTTAAAGCCCCAGAATTTCCTACACAAAAGATAAAACTCAAGGACACACACTCTAACGGATAAAATACACTCCCTGGGTAAGTGACTCGGTGGCTCAACAACTTGCAAGGCATTACACAGCAGGTAAAATGGTCAACAGGAATCCAATGATCAACATGAGAAAACGTTCAATCATTGTGCGAAATAAGCAAAACGGAAGCTTAACTGTGCTATCATTCTAACTATTAAAACAGACACATGGCATGGACTAGTCAGAAAGCAGTCCATACCACCATCAGTTCTGGTGGTAGAATTCAAAAGAATGTAAAAAGTTTGCTTTTGTAACTGCATTAGTGATTCAGTTAAAAAGATACATAGCTGCCCTGCTCCCCAACTACTACACAGAAGCATCTCTAGAGTGTCTGCAGTATAGGGGCAGGGACCACACCAGAGGGACTGTGTGGCTGGGCACAGAGACCCCAGCACACGGGAAGAGGACATGCTGCTGCTGGCTGTGTGGCACAGAGAGGACGAGCCTCAGTTCGGAACAGAGCTGCTCTGAGAAGCCCATCATTTGCTATTCACAGCACTGGCATGCATGCTACATAAACAACCAAGTAAGTACATTTCCAATTCATTAAAAACTGGGGGGAAATCAGTACAACATACTCTGGAGAAGTAATAGTGGAAGTCTGCCAATGTTTGGGCAAAGAATATAAAACAGGAAATTTTAATGCCCACAAACTAAAACCTTGGCCCACCTCTAGACAGGGAGCAGTTACCTTCTCCTTTCATATGACATTTCTGCTCAACTAGCTTTGTTTTCTGTCACTTTGCTTTTAATTTTGAAAAGCATCTTCCACACATGTCCCTAATGAAGCTTGAAATTAACATGGTCTTCTCAATTCCTTCTTTGTGTACCAATATGAAACAGTTTGGATCCAGGAAACACCATGAAGCAGAAATAGGGCAGTATTACACAGAACAATTTTTCTGTTAAGCCTTGAAGGACTGTTACAGGTCCCAGGACTGGGAAAAAATGTGGTCGGCTTATTGCTCCATCTCCCTGCCTACACTGGGCCCTAAATGGTGCCCATCACTAAAGAGTCAGATGCTCTTCTTAGTCAAAGATGCAAGCAGGGAGGTGACAAGCTGCTCCCTCTTCTATGTATCAAAATACTGTGCTAAGGAGATGTAATAGGAAAGCCAGGGAACTGCTTCTACCCACAAAGTAAAATCACATAGAATAGGCACTGTGTAGTGTAATGCATATGTTAATTACGCTCAATTTGTCCATTCTGTAAACATCTGCACATTTCACAGTGAATGTTACACCATTTTACTAAAGAATATGAGGATGACCATCTCACAATCCTACTACATAGACCAAATTGATAAACACAAAAAGATCATTTTCACGATACCCCCTTCCTAAAGACTCGCCTGTGCGTGCTGGGGATGGAGCCTAAGCTCCTGTGCATGCAAAGCGTTTGCTCTACCAGTGAGACGCCCCTCCAGCCCAGCTTCCTACAAGAGGAAGGAGGACTGAAAACCCTGGAGGCCAGAGCCAACGTGTCCTAGTCGACTCCATTTACCAGCTGACTTAAACTGTGACACAGCACGTAGTGCACAGGATTCAAGAGAACAGGAATGAACGGGCTCCACACACTGCAATGGTACTAAATCCTTACTACTGAGTAAATGAAAGGAGACGAGAATTCTAGGAAAAGGAAAAATCAAGTGATTTCTTACAAAAACAGAAATTTACTAGTGTCCACAGAGCTGTCAGGATAGAGTTCAACCCCAGCTTTCTTATCTCCTTGCACTCACCATGACAGGAGGCCCAGATCAGGAGAAGAGATCCCCGTCCCTTCTTCAGTGTCTACCAAAGGCTCTTCTTTTTCTTATGCTGAGCTCTGTCATTTAAGGAAGAAAAAAAAAATGGTAATAATTTTCCCCCAAATGATCATACCCTAATTGAAAACCCAAAAAATTACATATACATGAAAACCCAAAAATCTAACCAAATTCAGCCAAGAGAAAGTTGAATATCACCCAGCTAATCTAACTAGTCAATTCTAACCTTAACAATGCCTTTGTAAAAATCTTCCTGGTCTTAACTAGTTCTGTTAAAAAAAAAAAAAAAGAAAAGTAGCCAATACTAATGTTTCTATGTTGATAGTAATATAAAATTATAGTATTGCAAATAATAAAGCAATATAATTAAAATAAACCCACAAATGCAAAAACAATGCTTGTAATTTTTCGGGATGTGTGTGGTTATTTTACTTCCATGGGAAGCAAACCAACCTAGTAAGCAGAGCGCCCAATGCCTCATTATCCCCACACTCTGCTCACCTGGAGCTTACAAACTGCTCTGAAACCTTCTGCTTTGGTGTCTTGTTTCCTTTTCAGTGCTACTTGAGTGTGAGCATGGCCTCATGCTTGCTAGGTAGGGACTCTACCACTTGAGCCACAGCTCCGGCCTTTTTGGCTTTAGCTTTAGTTATTTCTCAGGTAGGTCACACAGTTTTTGCCTGGGTCTAGCTTCAGACTGTGATCCTCCTACCTACAGCCTCCTTTATAAATGGGATCACAGGTGAGAAACATCACACTGGGCTAATTGGTTGACATGGGGTCTCACTGACTTTTTGCCAAGGCTAGCCTGGCACTGCGATCCTCTTGATCTCTGCCTCCCAAGTAGCTGGGGTTATAGGTGTGAGCCACTGTGCCCAGCTCCTTTTGTTGTTTGAAGAACAAAACAGAAGGGAAGAATAGCCAACTAGAAATTCAAAGACAGGCTATGGCTGTCGGAATGTGAGCATCTTCAGTAAGTTACTCTTCTGAATAGATCAGTCTTACACAAAAGCATCATTTCTGCTTGGCTAAAGTTCTATAGGCTGAGTGTATTTCATACTGAGAACAAGCCCTGTTCAATGAGGGAACAGAGAACACCAAAGATGGGGCAGGGCCAGACCACATGAAGCCCTTAAGGAGTTGTGAGCAGAGAAGTAACATCAAACACCTTACTTTAAAACATCCACCTGAGCACGCCAATGCCTTACGCTACAATCCCAGCTACTTGAAAGGCTGAGATTGGGAGGACTGAGGTTTGAGCCCAGCCCGGGAAAATAGTTCACAAGACCCTATCTCCAAAATAACCAGAGCAGAATGGACAGCAGGTGTGGCTCAAGCAGCAGAGCACCTGCTTTGCAAGCGTGAGGCCCTGAGTTCAAATCCCAGTCCCACAAAAAAAGTCCCACTTCACCTGGCAATACTGGGGATAGTTGAGACTGCTGGGGGTGATGAGCAAAAGAAGAAGGGAGACTACTTAGAATGCTGCAACAATCCAGGCAGGGTTGTTGCTAGATTACTGATATACTTGAAAAGTACTACCCACAGAATCTGAGCTGATCAGTTAAATGTGGGAGAAAAAGAAGTCAAGCTTTCCTGCCTCAGCAACTGGAAGGATTTCCCATTTACTTATGAGGGCCATCCGTAAGAAAAACGGATTCCTCACCCCATGAGAGACAGGTAGGGGAGAAGGAACCACCAGGAAATATAAAGTTCTGAAGATTCCAAAGTGGGCATGTAATATTTGCTAGATAAACCAGCCTGGAGGTCAAGAAGATGGTATTAACATGGCCAGGGAGGACATCAGTGTGTAGAGGGCATTAAAGTTACAACTAGGTTGTAGGCTGGCTCAAGTGGTAGAGTGCCTACTAGGCATGGTGGTACAGGCCTGTAATCCCAGCACTTGGGAAACTGAGGCAGGAGGCCAGCCTGGGTTGCACAGGGAGACCTTGTTGTATAAGAAAGTAAGTAAATAAATAGTTAATTAAAATAAACCTTAAAGCCTTTTATACAAACGTTCCTAACACCGTAATAGTCAAAAGCTGTAAACAGTTCAACTGTGCGTTGACGGACGAGCGACAGCAACATACACAGACTGGAATGTCACTCAGCAATAAACAGGAAGAACACACTGAGCCATGGCTCAGCCAGGATGAGAATACCGCGCTAAGTGCAAGCGCCTGGGGCCAGAGGCTGTAAGCTGTGTGATTCCATTTATGTGAAATGTCCAGAATAGCTAAATCGGACACAAAACAGTGGTTAGCAGAGGTTGGCTTGAGGGAGGAATGGAGAGTGACTCCATAGTGCGTGTGGGTGTATTCATGGGGTGACAAAATGTTCTGGAATTAGATAATGGTGGTATTTGCACAACACAGTGAATACACTAAAAACCACTGAGTTGTGTTCTTTAAAAGAGTGGATTTTATGTGATGTGAATTACAGCTCAATAAAAATATGAGTAAAGAGGATGAAAATACTGGGCGACAGTGGCTCTAACCTGTAATCCTACCTACTCAGGAGGCAGAAATCAGGAGGATCTCAGTTCAAGGCCAGCCTGGGCAAACAGTTCTCGAGACCCTGTCTCAAAAAACTCATCACAAAGAAGGGCTGGTGGAGTGGCTCAAGTGGTATACCTAAGTTCAAACCCCAGTTTTGAAAAGAAAAAAAAAAAAAAGAGTATGAACACAAACTTCTCATGAAATACTAAAAATATGACTGCGAAAACATTACAGGAATATTTCAGTAGCAAGGAGCAAAGGACTAACTACCACTTCAAAAAAGCCCAGTCTCCTGTGAAAAAACAGCCAATTTTGGGTCTAGAACAGAAAACGTACAAGTTGATTCTGGAACATCTTATTAAGTTGGAAAGCAGGAAACTATCAAACACAAACCTGAAGAGATTCACTGGCCAAAAATGAATGTGAACAAAAGTAAAGTGTAGAGGATTAAGTTCCAATGTTTAAATATTAGTTCGTAATGAAAGATTTTCTCTCGCTCTCTCTCTCTCTCTAGCACCGGGAACCAACCTCTCGTTTCTGAAAACAGACCAATCCAATAGTTAGGAGAGAAATATTCCACCTAACATATGAAGGAAAGAGAATTACACATCGCTACTTTTAAGCTGCTAATAAAACACAGGATGCTAGTGAACGTCTTCGAATAAGCACAGGAAAATCACCCACGCATATCCGGCAAACTTCAAGACAGGCTTGGACAGGAGACGTGCTATTAAAGAGCCTTAAGGGGCATTTCGACCAAATGCCACACAAAGGGCCTGACTTGGGGACTTGTGTTTTGTAGTGCTGGGTTGAACTCAGGGCCTGTGCTTGTTCGGCAGGCGCTCTACTGCTCGAGCCACACCTCCAACCCTTGGATCCTGATCCAAAGCTCAGAACCAAATCAAGACATTTAGAGAAATCCAATAGTGTGATAAGTACTTGGTTACATCAACACCCTATTACTAATATTACACAGATGCTGACAATGTGGCTGTGGTTACAGGTTCTTTTACTTGTGTAAACCTCTCTAAAAAGAGGTTTTTGAGGTTTTTCGGGGAGGGGGGTAATGGGGGTTGAACTCAGGGTTTTGTGCATAGGCAAAATTCTACCCACTCAAGCCACACCTCAACCCAAAAGAGAATCTTTTAAATACACCACTGAAGTGCATGCAGAGGAGGTGGCACTCTGAGGACTAGGTGGAATGAGGAACACCAATCAAGACAGCCATGAGCCGATTAAGTTTTAAGACAGTGACGTAAGTAAATGGAGATATTCTTTACTCAAAATTTCTCACATAATTAACTTTCCTTATCATAACTGCAATTCTTCTCTTCAGAACCCCGAGTTAAACATCCAATCCAGCAATCTCATTACTTGGTATACATCCAAAGGAACCAAAATCAGTATGTTGAAGATACATCTGCACTTGTATGTTTATCATTTGTGTTGAGAACATGTATGTTTATTATATCAATACTCCAAACAGCCAAGATCCTACCTGGTGTCACTGATGGATACAGAAAAATGTGGTTTATATGCACAACGGAATATTATTTGGCCACAAAACGGAAATTCTGTCATTTGCAGCAACATGAATGACTCTGGAGGGCACTGTATTAAATAACTCAGGCAAAGAAAGAAGTACTTCATGCTCTTCCATGTAGAAGCTAAACAGTTGGTTCTAAGTAAGTAGAGGACGGGAGAGTAATTACAGAGCCAGGGGAGAGGAGAAGAGAGTTAGTGGGAAGACAAGTGCAGCTGCATATGAGAGAATGTTTTATAGCACAACTAGGATAACTACAGTTGACAAAAACTATTTCAAAATAGCTAGTAGATGATGTTTAATGTCCTCAACACAAATGATAAGTATCTCAGGTGACAGGTATGTGTTCCACGAGCCAGGAGATACCTTGATTATTGGAAGAACCAAAAACGAGGAAGCTGCTGAAGCCAAAATGTAGTGACTCAGAGAAGCAGACAGAGAAAAGTACAAGGAGGTCATCTAACATAGCAGTGGGTAAAGATTGTATTCCTAGCATGGCAGGACACTGCTGACAGGTTTGACGGCAGTGTGACCTGATTTTAAGATCACACTGGGGCTGCGTGGTGAATGGAATAGAGGAGGAAAAGAATGGAGGACAACTACAAGAAGAGGTTTGATTTTTTTTTAGAGCAGAGGCAATACAGACAAAAGAAAAACAAGAATCTGAAAGGGATTTTAGAACTTCACAAGAGGACATGGTAAAAAACTGGGGAAGAAGGGACACTAAGGAATATTAGAGAATTTATAATCCAGGAGGGAAAATAAGAACAGTTAAAATAGCTCCAAATAAGAAGTACTACTTCAGTCACCGGAAAAAAGATAAAGTTACGGTAGAAATTCCTAAGAAAAAGTCAAAAGCACAGGTAAGTCTGCAACCACTCTGAATTCAGGAGCTGCTAAAGGTTCCCTTTAAAACCACAAACAACAGCTGTGACCCATCCTTGGGACACACTCAGGGGTCAATGTAGCACCTCACTTGTAAAACTTGCACCTACTATTAGCATAAAAAGAGGAAACAGTT